ACCCTCTCCGTGGACCCGACCGGGAGCACAGTGTGGCACACGGCGGCCCCCCAGCAGGCCAAAATGTAGGTAGCTGGTCCTCGTTCTCTCGTTGTCGCACGCCCCGTCGGCCCCAGTTCACTAGTTCATGCAGGCTCGGGTCAAGCCCGTCTGCCTCAGAATGCAGCCGCTGTTAAGTGACCTTGCTCACTCCGCGGCGCGCTAGCTGGCGAGCTATAAATATGGGGAACAAAGTTGGGAACTTGGTCACGTTGTTTATTGTGCGTTGTGTTTTGCTCTGCAACACCTCCCGTAGTCACGGCACCCACGTTTCACTCACTCTCACGCGCTCTTTGGGCTCTCCCCTTCCTCTCCTCGCTTCTCTCTCTCTCTCTCTCTGTGCGTGTGTGTGTGTGTGTGTGAGTGCGCGTTTTTTCTTTCTGCCCCGAGCACAACTGGGGGCCGATCCGCGATACTAGTAACAGGTGAAACTTCAAAAAGTCTTACACCGCTGCCAATTCAGGCACTCAGGTCTGGCGAGCTTTCACAAGATGGAGGATGCTGGAATCTGAAATTTTGCCTCCTCAGGACGGTACATAGATTGAGCCACAGTCGTGTAAAATCTCCCCAAACAAGTTGGCTTGATAAGTCGTGCGGCGTGTCAGCGCTTTCTGTTGCTCCGCTAAACTAAAGCTGCTGCCTCGGCGCGGGAGTGGTGTGCTCGAATATGTGGGTGGGTGTGCCTCCGTGTGCTCGTGTAACGAATATCTGTGTCTGCTGTCTGTGTCTGCATGCCCGCATGCAGCTTCACCTTCGCTGCGTTCGATGCAGCATGCTGTGTCGGCCTAGCTTCTCATACGTCATAGGGATGGCTCGAGAAGGGAGCAGATGATTGTCACAACCCAGCTCCTGGAATGGGTTGATCCCGGATTCATCATGCATTCCCCAGACCAGGCATAATCCGGAGTGACCAATTGGCCTCATCTATTAAGTTATTCCCTCGTCGCTCGGGGACGGGTGGAAATGCTGTCGAGAGAGCGAAGAAAGACATACGGCATCGGTGGCCAGGTCATGGCATGGCATGGCCCCATCATGGGTTCGACAAATCGGCCTCGCCGTCCGTGCGGGGTGGGCATTGGTTGATCGCCACATTGTTCAGGCAACTGTTTCTGTTCGGCTATCAGCTGGGATACTCGGTGCTCATACAACCCATATTGCCACTTGGAGCAGCAATCTGTGCGTGTACTCGGTCGAGTCCTGTCCGATGCACATGATGGGGCTTGAAGAGTTTTTTTCTGGTTCCCGCAGTGGAGATGGTAAATTCTTACCAGGGAAAATGAGGCTTTTTAGCTTGTTCTAGTGCTAGTATCAGTATTACAACTGGGTCTCTCCCGAATGGCAAAGTAGAACCCTGCATGACAACGTTGACCTCTTGGCGTGAATGAATCGCGCTCGCCACTGCTTGCTTGGTGCGGCTTTTTGGCCATCCTTCTTTGCCGTCTTGCCGCCCGGCTGCTTCTATCGGCTCGCCATCACTTGGCATCCCTGGATTTTGATTTTATTCCCGGATCTTGTGGCAATGGTTGACCAGCTGCGTCAGCGTTGCGAAAACCGCTCACTCCCCTGCAAAAAGCCGAATTGTCACCGTATCATAGCAGCGATCTTCCAAACCAGTTTGTGGAATACAACAGGCTGTCCACTCTGACCGGATATCGTCATTTGGTCGCATGGTCAGCCGCATGGTCATGCGTGGGCGGAGAGGCATTTTTTGAAGAGCCCCGTCTCTCCATGTAGGCATGTATGTACGGAGTACGCAGATGCACTTTCAGAACCATGCCTACGGGGTCAAGCGGTCCTTGGTCTTGTTGTCGTCATGGCCCCGTCGTTCGAAGGCCCGTACCCATCGGCGTCTCAGCTGAAAAGAGGTGTTCGAGGGCGAATCACTGTTCGAGGCCAACTTTTCCCGCATCAACCTCTTTTTGTACACCTAATGCTTGATTCTTTATATCTCAGCTGGCAGTACATGGTTGCGGCCAGCGGGTGGCTCCTTGGTTAGCATTGCACGGACGTGTCGGGTAGTGTGATGATGGCCATCCTCGTTCGATCCAAGTGACACAACTATATGCAAGCCCTAATAGGCCACGTCAAAGCGCAGTGCACCATTCACATCAAGAACCAGTCACTGCCTAGTCGCTTTCGACGAGATGGCGCAGCCATGTAGACTTGAGTTGCGTATGTAGATCATATTCGTCAACTCGCTACAAGTTGGACGGATACAGCAACCGAGAATTATACTGTGATGAGTATTCATGGTCCGGTTGCCCCTTGGTTGCAACAATGGACTGGAGCAGCACTTCCGTGAGACGACATCTTTGTGTGAAATTCCTAGGCCTTTCATTTCAAATCGATGTATCAGCACTGGATTATTTACAACAGCATGGGTTGGAAGGGAATGATATTCACGACTTTTAGGGAGAAGACATTTGAGACGAGCCGTTTCAGCCTCCTCTGCGGAAATCCGTGGTATCGTTTCCAGATGGTAGAAAATGGCCCAAAATCCCTGATCCAGGGACGGGTACAGGAAGTAAAATAGGAGATCGGAAAGCAGGGTTTGCATTGATCCTGATGGTCCGAATCATGCAGCTGTGCGTAAATCAAACGCTTTGGGATTGGAAAAAGGGACGGCTGAACAGGTAATGCAGCTTAGACTCGCAGTATGTGTGCTTGGAAGAAGAGCGCATCCTTCTTTTCAGGATGAAATGCCCATTTGCGGGAAGGAACCATGGACCGACGTCCCAGTCGCGCATGCCACGCCCGTCCTTGCCCTGGTCACGCAGAAGTCCCAAACTTGTGTGGTGTGGTGAACAGTCTCTCTATTTCTGTCTCTTTGAAGGTCCCCCGATATGCTTCATGTGGGCACAATTTTTTCCTATAAATGTCATTTGGCTCTGCCAGTTTTGTCTTGATACTTGAAGCATTGAAGCACTGGCAGCTCTACTCCAGATTTGGCAAGTTTCACACATTCTGTCCTTTCGGCTGCTACCGCGAATCCAGCTAACCGAAAACACGAAACCGGCTGGCAATTGACAGTAGTACGTATAAAATCAGCGACCAATCCAGCGATGTCAATTGATGCTCATTTCGTAATGGGACAATCCGACGTGCACGGATGTGGACGTGTGAAGTTTGAACGACGTCGACCCTCCGCAGCAGATAACGTTACGTTTCGTCAAACACTCACGGAACCAGCAGAAGACATCACCAATGGACAACCAAACATAGGTAACGTGCATGGATCTCTAGCAGGCGGCCTCTAGTTTATGTCACGGCACGCTGTTGGTAACCCTTGCAACATCAAGGCCCTGCCACAACTCCCCATGTGCTCCTTTATGACCCAGTCACCACTGGATTTGCTAATTGTACTTTGTAGTCGTTTCATTCGGTTTCACGACGCGGCACTGCCGGATAATTGCTTGAGTTTTCTTCCAATACTCACCCCCTGATCGCCGTTTGGTCCAGGTTCAGAAAGCTCCTATAGAATCAAGTGGCCCGGTTTTTCTTTCCAGGAATCGAGACCCTGGGCACGAGAAGAGGTATGGGGGAAATAGTACATGGTTCTGGCTGTTTCGCGGCTTCAAATCAATAGCTGCTTGGGGGAAATAAGTCGGTGAGTCGTTGTCCCCTCCTAATTTTTACGCCCCTCTGAATTGGTCCAAATGGACGAGATGAGCCGGTTGCGGTCGCCCATCAGAATAACCACCGACCAAAAGAAAAGGTGAGACTCTTGGACTCCGCAGTTCCCGCTAGAGGAAACATGAGTGATAACTATCCCCGATCTCTTCTGGTTGGTGCAACCGGCTCGCGTCACTGGGCCTCTCTGTCTTCTTATTATGATTACCCAGCAGCCAGCCCTCGCTTCACTTGGAAAGTTCGATGTCTCTTTTCGGGCACCCGTAATGGTGGTATTACAGTGAAAATATCCCCGGCAAACCGTCCTTCCCGACTGCTGTAGCCCGCCCGATCCGACCTGCCGAAAGACCATAGTCCATAATACTGCACAATGTCCACCGGAATGGGAAGTGCGCGGCGGCTCGGGTTTTTGAGGCAATGGAGAGAAAACAAAGAACGTGTGCTTTCGTTCTAATACTATGATCATCAACACGGCAGTACGTAGTAGTAGTACTGCATTTGCCGAGGTCATGCTGGGTCCATCGCGACCCCACGGACGTTTACCATACCAGGACACTTGGCGTATTTCTTGTGGCTGTTAGTCTCTGGCTTGGTAGGTGCGCGTCGAATGCGTTGTGCTCTTTGGTGCAGAGTATCAAGCAACCATCCCCTAATGGGAAGAAACAACATACACGTGCCTGCCTACCGCTTCTTTTGCCAATTTTCCAGGGCAAACAAATATAAGCAAGAGAAAAAATTAGCAGGTAACCAACCCGCGGATGGAATGTACGAAGAAATGCAACTCGAGTGCGCACCTACACACACGGTGCAAACGGCGGTATAGGGTGGCCACAGACCTTATGCAAGCGTCACGGCCATTTCAGGGCGCAAAGTAGAGAATCCGACGTTGAAGTCAACTTGAGTTTCAATACGCGAGTGGCAGTTATATACTAGTAACCACAGATGCCCAGAGAGAGAGCACTACAAACGTTGAGCAATAAACATTAAGAACTACTGCAGTCCTGTATCGTATGCAAGCCACGAGCGACTTGTGTGGAAAATTCACGAAACCGTAAGTAACATGTAACAAGGTAAAGTTTGAAAGAGGCGCATTTGAATGCTGTAAATGGCGCCAAAGACACTGAAAACGACGAACCCTCCCCTAACCAATGAATACTCCCCATACATGTTCCTAAGCAAAAGAAGGGCAAGGCTCGCAGTCTGGACTGCTCGTCGAGACTCCCAACACTCACTCCATTTATGCAGTCCCATCCCTCGGGCCCCAAAACCACCGATGTCCCTCCCTGGGTATCAAGATCTCAAGAGACACGAAACATTGCGACAACACCTAATCAATGCCCACTCGGATCGGGGAATTGAAACCCTGAAGGGAAATTTGGCATTCCATTAGGCAAGGCCCCAATTCCAAACGGGAACACTGGGGTCGTGCTCCCTTGGCCGCCATTGCCCTGATCACGACCGCGACGACCGCCTCTTCCCGCATCTTCGTCACGGTTTCTGGTAGATTTGGGTCCATTGCTGCCGCCCTTGTCGGTTTGCATACGACGACTGATGGCCTTGGATGAGACGCCTGCGCCGATTTCAATGTCGGGCTCCTCCACAGAGAGGCCAGACTCGATTGGACGACCGCCACTGCCGCCGTAAGGAGCAGTCAATATCCATTTACGGTCCGCCTCAGTGAGCTTCGGAATGGGAATGATGCTGATGCCAGTGGCGTAATCGCTGCAGTCTCTGGGACCAAACCCGACACCCCAGCGGGTCTGAAAAATCCCCAGTCAGCATGCACAAATTCACAATGACGTTGATGCGAAGCGAGACTTACTCTCAGCGGATGTTCGCAGTCGCGATTTTCTTCCATGCTTTCTTTGGCGGCGGCAGCGTCCTTGCGGGTCAGCATCTTGACGAACGCGTGACGCTTGTCCTTGTTGACGATGCAAGTCTGAACTGTGCCAAACTGGCTGAATACTCGCCGAAGCTCGGCCTCGGAGCATCTACGAACAGAATATTAGATGACGGTTCTGCAGCACCTTGGTACGGCCGGGCCAAGTTGGGTCTGGGACGATGGGAGTACTTACGTTACACCACCCACAAAGAGGGTTCGACTGTAGACTTTAATATGGCCAGATGGGACACTGGAATCATAATCGACCCATCGTTCAACATGGGGGAAACTGCCGGGAGGAGTGGGACTTCGGCCACGGCGACCTGGAGGGCTACGGTGACGGTAGTCGTTTCCTCCACGGCCATTGCGGTCCCGATCATGGCGACCATTCGGGGGAGAGTTGCGCCCGTGACCTCGTCCACCACGAGGAGAGTCGCGGGATCCCCGGCCTCGATCAGGAGACCTGGACCTGGTTCGGCCACGATATCTAGGCGATCTGATACTGTCCTCATAGCCTCGGTCACGCCCATCACTAGATACAGGAGCGGGACCGCCCCAAGGTTGTTGACCGCCGGTGGAAAAAGTCCCTTGTGCCGCTGGTACAGGTGGCTGGAAGCCGGTATGGGGAGCGCCAGCATTGTTTCCAACAGCGGCACTGTTGCTTGTCATACTCTGGATCAGAGAAGGAATTTTATCAAATGGAACACCTTGGTCAGCGAGGGCCTTGATCAACAGAATCTGCTGCTGCACAGCTGGGTCTAAGGCTCCACCGGCACCAGGAGCAGCTGGGCTTGCAGTAGCAAAAGGGTTGTGAGGATTACTCGCGTTGTTAGGCAACGCTGGGGCCTGACCAGCCGTCTGAGGAAGTGAGAATGGAAGGGACGGCACGGTTACGGGCTGTGCTGCCGGGGGATACGATGGCTGTGCTTGAGAGTGCGGTTGTGGTATCGTCGAGGACGACACAGGTTGCGGAAGGGCGGAAGGCGGAATGCTATATGGTGCTGCTGGTGCTACTGGTGCTGGCGGGTTGGAAGCATTATTGTTGGCACTACCAGGAGCTGACGTCTGCCTGGCCATGTTCGCAAGGGCTTCCAAAATCGATGAGCCATTTGGAGCTGGTGCAGCTGAGGGGGGAGCGTGACTTTGCAAGGCAGCCAAGGCCGATGCCGGGGGGCTGCCGGGGGGAGTTGTCGAAGTTTCTGAGAGAAGCATGTGTTGTTAGAGACAATATATTCCAGTTTCCGCAGTCACTCCGTGACAGCCAGACCGGGATTGATCGTAGGCTCACGGCAGACACCTCTGGACGAGAACAGTCCCAGATATTCAGGGAAATACATACTAGATGTGGGAGCCGTCAGCTTCTCCTTGAATGACTCAATCATCTGGGTGGGGAAGGTCTGGCCCTTCTCCCAGATGTCTAAGAGCTTCTTAATTTTCTCCTACAAAGTGAGTGTACGGTAAGCTACTATTCAGGTCGCGGTTCTGGATGGTTTATGCGCTGTTTCGATGGCCGAGTGGATGTGCCTGCGTGAGAGCAGCGCAGTCTCATGTCCAGCTGTGGTTTTTTGTGGCCAACAATCCGAGCATTGTCACGACCCAACCGCCATCGCAGCATTTCATAAACAGGTGCATGAGGATAGTTGTCTTGGTAAAGGTCTTTTTTGCAGACTCAAAATTTTGCGTACCTTTTGTTCTTCTGGGGCGGATTGGAGAATGTCATTCATCAACACGGGCATTAGGTCGGTCACTCGGCGTACCCCGGCGGCATATGTACCGTCTGGCGCAGATCTGTTTACTGGTTTTCCTTGAGATTTTGCTTGCTCGAGCCACTTTCGGGTTACAGAGTCTACTACGTAGAGAACCCCCAATTTGTGTGTCCCAGGCGCCTTTTTGAAGTGTGTGTAAATCTTCTGAATAAGTACGGATTCAGACTATGTTGGTTGGTGGTTAGTATCTCAAAAGGGGAAACGGAAATGACGAAGAGCTAGATAGACTAGCATTAGGATGGAATGGTAATACCTGTATGTTCGCGACGCAGAGTGATGTTAGACTAGTGATACGAGATCCAGACACACCGGGCGGCTTCAAATTCAGCATGGCCTGGAGGCCGGCCTCCAAGTCTGCGACTGCGGACGACATGACGCGACCCAGAGATGCGAGAACCAAGTTCTAGGAAGACTGCGAAAGTCAAGGGCAGTGACGCGGTCGGGTACCGCCACTGGCAAATAAAGAGAGCCTGATCACCTCTCCTGGACTCTCTCTTTTGACCGGAACGTAATGACGAGCAAATATACAAGCCCTTAGTCCAATCCGACGGTTTGACGTCTGACTGATCTCTTTTCGTTCACAGCAAATTGATAGGCCAATACCAACAAAACGGTGAGTTTACGAGGCTCGAAGTACTGTACGACCAGGCGGAAACGCGTCGGCTAGACGGTGTGGGTTTGAGATTAAATAGCCGAGTACGCGACGACGTCCTTATAGAAGCGAAGGAAGAAGCGCACCACAAGTTAGGAAACCGTCTTCTACTGTGATGATGCGAAGGCGCGATGTGTTCACGGATGGCTGGTCAAAATGGGTAGAGAGACTCTTTCTGTTTAGTACGACAATCTAGCCGGCTGGTGGCGAAAAAAAAAAATCAGCAAACAGAGGAAGAGGCCGTCGGAGGACGAGAAACGCGAAGATGCTGACGGGCGAGAGCGTATCTTGATGATTTCGAAGCCAAGCTGATGAGGTGTCCGAGTTGTGCTGATGAAACTAAGAGGGAGAGATAATGAAGAAGGGAAATTTCGATGAGGATGCAGAAGGAACCACGGGGTAGGCAGGGGAGCAGCAAGTCTTCCAGCGAGCGGACACTTTAAGTAGGGAGGAGGACCAGTCAGGTGCGGGAAAAAAAATCAGAAAAACGTGACTTGACGCAGTGACCACTGACCAATGCGTGTCTGGCTTGTGAGCGTGTGAGCGTGTGAGCGTGTGTGCGGCGAGAGGCAGGGGTGTCGGCGTCAGGTAGGTGTCGGCGTGGCTGTATACCTACTTAGTTAGTACTTACAGTGTCCCCAGCCTCGTCGGCCATGACAAGCACTTTTGACTGGCGCCAAGGCCGCGATTCTCGGATAGGCGCAAGGCCTACACTAGGTGAGGACAACACATGAATTGAAGTCAAGAGCCTGCCCACCTAAGGTACCGGAGCTACCTGTCAAGGACTCCGTTCTCTGACTAAAGTTGGGTAGCGAAATTGGTCAAGCAAGCAAATTAGACGAGGCGGCGGTGGCCCGGCCAGTGACGGAAGAGCAAAACTTCTTGTGCCATCAAAATAAAATATCACGGGCCCTTGGTCCGTGGCCGACAACATTTCCACTTCGGATGCGTTATTTGTTATAACGTGTGAGGTATCGACGGCTAGCTTGCGTCATCTCCATCTGCTCTTGCTGCCGGATTACCAGAGAGCAGCCCAACTGGTTCTCTTCGTGCCGGCACCTCGGGGTTTTCGGGTGCGGGTGCACCGGACAGCAGCACACAAGCGGGCCGTGAAGCGCAGCCGTGCAGCCAAGATGAGCGCTGAAGTTTCAAGTGCCTACGTACTTCCTGCCTTGCAGCAGCGCTCCTCAGTGCTCAAGTGGCCCCTTCCCAGGTGCCCCTCCCTCCCCTGGAAAAAAAAAAGAGAGATCAATGATTGCCATGAATCTCAGTGCCCGGGCAATAATTTTATTTTTTTCTTCCCCTTCGCTTGCGACCACGCCCTGCCAACTAACTGCCCTGCTCTCTGATTCTCTCCGTTCTCCCGAGACCAGACCCATCAAACGCTCCAGACCTTCTTATTCATATCGAGACGCCAGGGACTTATTCCTGAGGCCCTTTCACTTCCGTCAATTAGGCCCCATACCCATAGTAATTGTCCTCATCTCCCTCTGCGCCTCCCTTCTTCGTCATCCCCAGTCGTCATACAATGGCCTCCTTTACTCGCCTCAGCAACTCTGCCCTGCGGGCCTCGCTCAAGTCCCAAGCCTTCAATGGCCGGGCCGTAGCCTTCAATGCTGCCCGCTACTATTCGGCCAAGACCCAGGTATGCTTGAGCTTAACTTTGATTTAGCCATCTGGGAAGGGCTGTGCCGTCGATTCCCGCACACTAACACGACTCAACCACCAGACTCTGAAAGACCGCTTCGCCGAACTTCTCCCCGAGAAGATTGAGCAAATCAAGGCTCTGCGAAAGTGAGCACCGAATCTTCCGAACCTGCCGACTGCTTGGAAACGCGAGCGAGCTCAATACAAACAGTATCTTGCTTTGCGACTGGCATTTGCTAACACGACTTCTACAGAGAGCACGGTTCCAAAGTCGTTGACAAGGTCACTCTTGACCAGGTCTATGGTGGTGCCCGTGGCATTAAGGCTCTGGTCTGGGAGGGCTCCGTCCTTGACTCTGAGGAGGGTATCCGATTCCGTGGCAAGACTATTCCTGAGTGCCAGAAGCTTCTCCCCAAGGCTCCTGGCGGCAAGGAGCCGCTGCCCGAAGGTAAGCTTGTTGCTGTACATGTCAGTTGGCTTTGAATGAAGAACTCCTCGTCTGACCGTTAACGCGCAGGTCTCTTCTGGCTCCTCCTAACGGGCGAGGTCCCTACCGAGCAGCAGGTCCGCGACCTCTCTGCTGAGTGGGCTGCCCGTTCCGACATCCCCAAGTTCGTCGAGGAGCTCATCGACCACTGCCCTACCGACCTTCACCCCATGGCCCAGTTCTCTCTGGCTGTCACCGCTCTCGAGCACACTTCTTCTTTCGCCAAGGCCTACGCCAAGGGTGTCAGCAAGAAGGAGTACTGGGGCTACACCTTTGAGGACTCGATGGACCTCATCGCTAAGCTGCCCAACATTGCTTCCCGCATCTACCAGAACGTATTTAAGGGTGGAAAGGTTGCGCCCATCCAGAAGGACAAGGACTACTCCTTCAACTTTGCCAACCAGCTGGGCTTCGGAAACAATGCCGACTTCGTCGAGCTGCTCCGTCTCTATCTGACCATCCATACCGACCACGAGGGTGGCAACGTCTCTGCCCACACCACTCACCTGGTTGGCTCTGCCCTCAGCTCGCCTTTCCTCTCTCTCGCCGCCGGTCTCAACGGTCTCGCCGGTCCCCTGCACGGCCTGGCTAATCAGGAGGTGCTTCTCTGGCTCACTGAGATGAAGAAGGTTGTTGGCGAGGATCTCTCCGACAAGAACATCACCGACTACTTGTGGTCCACCCTCAACGCCGGTCGTGTTGTTCCTGGCTATGGCCACGCCGTACTCCGAAAAACCGACCCCCGATACATGGCCCAGCGCGAGTTTGGTCTCGGTACGTAATGCTCACATGCGTTTTTCCCCTCGGACGGTAAAGTTGTCCAAGCACATGTGCTAATTCTTGCTTCAGCCAAGATGCCCGAGGACCCCATGTTCAAGCTTGTCAGCCAGGTGTACAAGATTGCTCCTGGTGTCCTGACTGAGCACGGCAAGACCAAGAACCCGTACCCCAACGTCGACGCGCACTCGGGTGTTCTTCTGCAGCACTACGGCCTGACTGAGGCCAGCTATTACACCGTCCTGTTCGGTGTTTCTCGCGCTATTGGTGTCCTGCCCCAGCTGATTATCGACCGCGCTGTGGGTGCTCCCATTGAGCGCCCCAAGTCCTTCTCTACCGACAAGTGGGCTGAGATTGTCAAGAAGCTGTAAATTTCTGTTGCGGCAGCACGGGGATGGGGGGAGGATTGTATGAGTTGAATGCTAGAGGGAGCCTGTTTGATTTGATCCGGGCATGGCAGCGTGTCTGGCGGGAACAAAATCATGTCAAAGTGATAGACTGGCTAAGGAGTTGCCGGTAGGAACCAAGACCTACTGGCGGTAGAATATTGTACACTATGATTGGGAGATTTTATAGAAACAATACGGTTGATTTGTCCCTGGCAACTAGGACAGATTGACGTGGCGAGGTCATGCCACCCATGTAGCGGCTCTCCCGCCGCCCGAGTGCCAGCGCTCCAGCCAGACAGACCCTTGGCCCTTGAGCGCGGCCGACAGCAGTGGGCAGTGGGGCAACAGAATGAATGCCCTGCAACTTTTCCTCAACAACCGGATGGATGCTCAGTCAACAAAAGTCGTGTCATACGTAGCTGCGACGGTTGTCGTCGCCTCGCCGCACGCTTTTTTTTTTTTTTTTTTTTTTTTTTTGTCCAGCAGCGTCCCACGGAAAGGGCACTGATGGGGGGCAACTCGCAGGCACAACCCCAGCCTCAACCAACTACGGAGTAATGTCAGGTAAGTACCTAGGTAGCTACCTACCTACCTACTTAGGTAGGTACCTAAGGTAGGTTCCTGTAGGTAGCACACTCGATGGTGCAGGGTGCAGTACCGAGTCCCCCTCTCCGGGCAGTCACGGCCTCGGTCATTCCAGACATCCCATGTTCACGTTCCACTTGCGCGCATCTCAATCCCATCTCCTCCGGAGCCCGTACTCCGCGCCCTCTGTTCGGACCTCGGGACATTGAAACGCATCACATCCTCCACTTTTTGTCTTCTCGAGACGTTGCCCTGGCCCGTTTCTGTTCGGCCAGCAGCAGCAGCAGGCAGCCCTGCCCCCAGCAGCTTGAGCTGCCCTCTCCCAAGTTCTGACTCAGCAAATCCTCCAGCTCACCCTTCTCCCGTCCGTCTCCTCCACCACATGTTCATTCGCTCACCAACCAACTTCTCCTTTCGCGAAGACGCACCCTATTCCCTTGGTCAGGGCCCCTTTGATTTCAACAAAACTCCCAGAGCCATGGTCGCGAGCGCTACTCTTCCCGCCTCCATTGGGGAGCCCCAGAAGTTGGAAAAGAAGCCCATCAAATTCTCCAACTTGCTTCTCGGTGCCGGCCTCAACATGTTCGAGGTCACCACCCTCGGTCAGCCCCTCGAGGTCGTCAAGACCACCATGGCTGCCAACCGTGGTGATGGCTTCGCTACGGCTTTGGGACGTATTTGGGCCCGAGGCGGTCCCTTTGGCTGTAGGTTCCGTCCTTGTTGTTCCTTCTTCCCTCTCTGGCCCCCTTTTTTCTCCTTCCCGGACCCATTGAGGACTCGTCTTGTCGTCCATGTTCCCGTACGCTCCCCCAGTCGCATGCTGACAAGGCAATCTCTTTGCCCAACATAGTCTACCAAGGTCTCATCCCCTGGGCTTGGATCGAGGCCTCAACCAAGGGAGCTGTCCTCCTCTTCGTCGCGTCCGAGGCCGAGTACTATGCTCGCGCTGCCGGCGCCTCCGAGTTCGGCGGTGGCATCCTCGGCGGCATCACTGGTGGAGTTGCCCAGGCCTATGCCACCATGGGCTTCTGCACCTGCATGAAGACGGTCGAAATTACCAAGCACAAGATGGCGGCCGCCGGTGTCAAGCCGCAATCCACCTTCCAGACCTTCATGGACATCTACCGCAAGGAGGGTGTCAGGGGTATCAACAAGGGCGTCAACGCCGTCGCCATTCGACAGATGACCAACTGGGGCTCCCGCTTCGGTCTCAGCCGTCTTGCCGAGACGTGGATCCGTTCCGCCACTGGCAAGTCCGACAAGGACAAGCTGTCTGCCATGGAGAAGGTCATTGCCTCTGGCCTTGGTGGTGGGCTCAGCGCCTGGAACCAACCAATCGAGGTTATTCGCGTCGAGATGCAGAGCAAAAAGGAGGACCCCAATCGCCCCAAGAAGATGACGGTCGGCAACACCTTCCGATACATCTACGCCAACAACGGCATCAGGGGCCTGTACCGTGGTGTCACTCCGCGAATTGGTCTTGGTGTCTGGCAGACCATCTGCATGGTTGCCTTTGGAGACATGTAAGCTTTGTCTGTCGTGCACAAATTCTTGAGCTGGCCTCTACTGACACCCCGCAGGGCAAAGACTTATGTTGAAAAGCTGACGGGCGATTCCGTCTCGGCTAAGCATTAACCGGCGTTGTATGCGGGTCTTACATTTGTATCAGCAGAATCTTGCGACGCTTTTGCGCATCGCGGCGAGATTATTGATGCACGTCCAACTAGGTTTTTTTTATCTCTACAATGTCTTGAGAATAGAGAAGAAAGGGTTGTGCTTGCTTTGTTCTGAACAGACGAGAATCTGTATCATCATTGATCTTGTAGTAGTTGGAAGACTTGTTATCATGTGTTTATTGGTCTTAGACGCGTCGTTTGGCGCATAAATAGACGGGATGGGTGTGTGCTTCGTGTCGACGAGTGGCGCAAGATTGTGATTTGAGGACAGAGAGCCCAAGGACCGTCGGCCGGCCGATGCGTCGTCACGGTCAGAGCGTACGTAGTAAGTGCACGTTGACGGCATCCTGCCAATGTACAGTTCTGTGGCGCCTCTATTCCTCACAGCTTGCCTGAAATGACAGGGAATCTATCTGTCATGCCTACCTACCACTCCAGCTACACATCTACTGTGCAAGGACCCAGCCAGAGCCAACAAAACAACCACATCCGTCCATGGTTGCGCGAAACATCAATCCGCGTCCGCGGGCATATCCTCATACTCAAACTCCCACCCCTCATCTCCATCCATATTGAGCCTGACCCGGAGATTGACCAGCTGGCAAAAAGACCAGTTGTCCAGGGAACGTGGGTCAAAGTCCCGGGCCACGTTCTCATCATGAAGCGTTTTTTCAGCCCAAGTTTGGACAGGCGGTCCTTTCAACCTGCGGAAAGACCTCGTGCGGGGACCGAGACTTGCGTCTACCGTCGCGCGTTGATTCCTCTCGAATTCGGGGAGCAAAGGACCTAGGGGGTCGAAGTGGGCGTGGGCGTCCGGGCGGAAGAGTCCCGTCGAGGGATATGCTGGGCCTTGGACGGCGCCGATGACTGGGTTTCGATGGAGAACGAGACTGTTTGAGGACAGGTATCGGTGTCGCGAGTACTCTGCAATGGACGAATCTGACGGGGTAGGAACGGAAAGCGGAGACGAGGAACAGGAGGACGTCGCTGGAGGCTCGGGTTCCGGGTGGGGGATGAACGGTTTTGGACGGCGGACGCGACGGTTCGTGCCCGGGATTGTGATGAAGTGCGAGTCTAGCTCGTCACGATGGTCTACTGAGAAGAAAAAGACACGGCCCGTTGCGTCGCCGACGACGAGCTTGGTGTGGTTTGGTGAAAAGACGCCGCACGTTATGGGGCCGGGAGCCTCGAGGAGATTCCTGACAAACGGACTGCGCTTGCGCCGCACGTTCCATACTTTGACGACGCCGTCACTTGAACCGGTGTAGAAGCGGTCCGGGGTTGCTCCCCAGGCGGTAAACTTGACGCCTTCGTCTTCCCTTTCTCGGTCAAAGATGACGGGGCCCAGGGGTTCCCCGTGCTTGAGGATGTGGATGGGCAGATCGCCCTGCGCTGTGTCCCAGATGTATACGCGCCCATCTGTGCAGGCTGCTGAGATGTAGGAGTGGCGCAAAGAGTTTGGCATGATGGTAAGCTCGTTGATATCGGAACCGTAGCAATCAAGTTTTTGAAACTCGCTGTACGCACCATCCTTGCGCTCCCTGTCCAGTTGAAAGATGTGGACATGTGTCCGTACGCCTTGCTCGACAATAAGTCCCGACGGCGACGTGGCAACGACGAAGACTGGGAGGGAAGGATGCCACACGAGTTCGAAAACGTTTGCCGTCGTGACAGTCAGGACAGGTACTTGACATCTCCGCTCGGCGTCCCATAGTACAATCTCACCACTGTGAGCCTTGTCTTCTGGAATGTTGGCATCGTCGCCGCTGAAGCTGCGAGGGGAGTAGCCTATGGCCAGCAGATGGTGTGTCCCAGGCGTTCGCCCCCATTGCATTGTAGCAGGGCAATAGGCCCATTTGTCTGATCCGTCCGCGTCGGTTCGAGTGCAGGATATGGTGTAGTAACCACTCTCTTGTACATTGCTTGGATCGACCGTATAAACGCGAATGGCTTGACTGGGGACATCTGCAGCCGTGGCCACTCGCCCAGACCCGTCCTTGGCGGCGACGACGAAATTGACGTTGCCTTGGTGGTGCCAAGTCGCTGTGGCTTTCATGCAAGTCCCATCCTCATCTACACTCCAGACCTTGACGGTCTTGTCAAAGCTCGAGGTGAAGGCTCTACCATTCTTGTCATCGTAGTCGGTCGACACGACAGACGAGTACAGCCAGGGGTCTTGGCTCTGACGCATGGCCTCCGTCGAATTTTCCCCCTTTTCCACAATTGGCCGTGGTATTCGATGGTCTGGAAAGGCACGAAGCGTGCCCTTTGTTGTGGAGCAAAGTAACAGATTGCCAGGCTTGTTGTACTGCTGGTTGTGTGCGTCCGAGTGTGCCGTGGTACCACATACAATATTACCATCTGGTACCCAGGACATGGCAGAAATGTCTCCCGCACAGTTGGTAAACTCGGCGACGAGTGAAAGGCCGTCTTCGTGGTATGTTTGAAACCCACTTTGGAAGTTCTCATACCGTCTCATTCTACCAAAGCCAATGTTTCCCTCCAACTCTCGAGCCAGAATTAAGGCGGGCAAGTGGTTGGCGCGTCGGTTCCGTGCTCTTCTCTCGGGGCTGGCTTCCTCTAGAGACAGCACCCGTAAATCGTCTGGATGGCTGGCTTTACCGGCAGAGAGGTCGGAGCACAAATTGTATACGTCATATTTTGTCCGTCCGCTCACTGAGTTACCGACGATTTGGGGAACATCGAGGTGTCGTAAGCTCTGCACTAGACCTTCCCTCGTCCATGGAATAGGCTTTGAAAGGTGCTGTCCGACGAGTTTCATAATCTCTGCGATCTCAAGCGAGGAAAAGTCGGCATGATACACGGCCGGAAACTGCACCTTGTCACGTGCTACGTGGACGCGATGCTTCACCCCCTGGGCAATATCTTGACGGGCCGAGTGTTGAAGGTAAGGCCGCCGCCGCAGCTGTAGCCACTTACTAGGAGTTGGCAGGCTGTGACTAGTCTTTGGTGCAACGTATCGCGGTCGAGTTCTCGGTCTAGGAACCGGGGTCGGGCCTGTACAGGAATTGGAAGCCGGCTGAGCAAACTCGAGAGGCTGGATAACCTTGTGTCGTGATAGCAGCGTGGGATTGGGTGCTTCCCGTGCCGGCAATATGGCCGCCTCCTTGGTCGAGCGGGGTTCTAGGACTTGGTATTCCTGATACTGGTCAGTGGCAGGCCCGGACTCCGTGTACGAGGCTCCCATGAACGTACCGGAAGACTCGCTAGTTGCTGGACAACTTTGGTAGCCAAGCCCTCTATATGCGCGGTGTCCTCCGCAGCAAGTAGACCATTACTAAGTTGCACTCTTTCTGGAAAGTTTGTGCTCCGGAGCAAGCTAGTGACGGCCTATATGCGCGTTGTTAGGCCCCTTGTTTCTTTACAAAAATGACGAAAAAGTCCCGGCTAGCGGGTCCTCTCGTTGTGTCTTACCTGGATTGCAATACTGTCCACGAGATAGACATCTGATGACAGCTCATCGACTGCTTTTTGCACGTGGGGAAGAAGGTGCTCCCGCACACATGTCTTGAGATCCCCCGCCGCTGGGCTGTCACTCGCTAAGCGTCGTTTCTTGGCAGGCGGCTGTTCCGAAGTCAGTTGAAGCGACTGCGTAGGGCCAGCATGGTTGCAGGGCGGCGGCAGAGGCCCAAATGTTGTCGGCGTGTCGATGGTCAAGTCGATGACGACGGGAGGAGCCGTTGCCGTCAGCGCGACACTCATTGGAGAAGTCACGATGATTGGGTGTTTTGTTTCTTTCCCAGAGCGTGGTTCGGAACACAACCTGGAGTGTACGGGACTTTAGCACGACCCCTCCCAGGAAACGCAGCTTCATCGGCTCGATATGATGTTGGGGACGAATGACGCGTCGTTTGGGTGGTGATATTCCGCGTTTGATTCAAGTTGCCTAACCTAAGCCTTCCGCCCCTACTTGACGTGGGATACTGGTCGACCGGAATATCTATCGTCCCGAAAGTAGTGCCCCACTTAGCGGTGCTAGGCGCTAGGCCTAACAAAGGGCAATCAGGACGGCTTCAGCTGCGTGAAACTGAAAGAGGAGAGGTCATACATAGACTCAAAGCAACATCACCCCAAACTCGTTTGCTAAAAGCATCAGTTTGGCGAATTTGCGCTACCAGACACCCGGGCCTTGTTGCCAGGCACTCATTCAATCACCATCCGGCCGCCAAACATCAAATACCCCCCTCTACCATGACTTAACATGCCAAATTCACAACACGACTGCTGACCAAAGATGCCTGTACAAACGGCCAGTGACATTGCTATTTTCACGTTCTTGGAGCTAGACTTAGGCCACATGAGCTGACGAGTCGCGCACACGCGCGTTGGACGCCCTTTCGAGTTGAAGCTGCAAATTATACTTTGCAATCAAAGCAATGAAAAATAGTATTGGCGTTTTAGGCTTCAGCTCCATCTCTGCTAACAAGCTGTTTTGCAGCCTGTGACGGACAGTGCTAATAATGCAAGGCACGGTCGCCGAAATACCACTTGGGCCCTTTATTAGCGCCCCAACTACCTTACTAAGTAGGTACCTAACTTACTACCTTGGGTACCTATCTAAAGTCAAGTACCTAGGTACCTAGGTAGGTTCTCAGGAAGTAGCCTACTAGGTACCTGAGATTGTGCATTTATAAAGCTTTTTTTGCCTCATCTGAGATAGCGCATCACTTGTATGCATCTCCAATCAGTTACAGGTCGCAATTGCTATAACTTTTGCTGCCGCAAGGCCTAGCGGTCGACTTGACGGCCGCCTAATAGATAGCATTAAAGGACTGTGGCGTAAATTTATGCGGCGACTAGCACAATTTCAACTATTAATCTGGTACAAATTCATTTAGACTACAGACTGTCTAGATTCGGTCTAAAGAGGAAGTATATAATTACGCTGGATGCACGGAAGAATTAATTAGGACAAATTCTCTGAAGAAGTTGGCGGCGTTGCCTTGCCTGCCCACAACAAGGGGCGGCCCACAACACCACGTACAGATATCGTGACCGCGAGCAATGGCCAGGTGGCTGCTTCTTTTCCCAGAATCAGACATTGATTGAATATGTTGACCTACCCTATAGTATGCTACGCTTTTTTCCCCTGTGAAACTGACAAAAGATTATATATAACCAAACTAGATTTATTCTAGAAGAGGCTAGCAAGTTCAAGTCTTGTAGCAAGTCAAAGGGCAACTAGCAATCAAGTTCCTTCTGTATCCCTCAACTAGCCGTCTATACTTGGTCACCCTTACACCTTGCGGCTACTCTCTAGAAAGTACACACTAGATAGACCTGGGCCCATGGTGTTTTTAGCACGTGCGCAGAACCGGCCATCATTTAGCTCACGCAATAATCCAACTTTCTCCTTGGTGCGTGGGTCATCACGGCCAAGGCCTGCAAACGTGATCGATCACACGGTGAACTCATGCAAAAGGTGGGCGGGCGGCGATTTGGAACTCGCTTGATACTATTCAACAACTAACTGTACATGAGATGACTCTATTTGTCTTGTAGATTCCAACATGTCGCCTTGCATGACCGCATTTCCTCAAGATGGGCCAATGTTAAACAAGTGGAACCGAGATGTTTACAAGGCTCGGCCTCTTATAATGCTATTTGCACAAATCCATGCCAAGCTGGTAATACAATTCAAAATAATCGACTTTTTCTTCTACAGCTTCGCCGAGCCAGCAGCTTGGGCGTTGTTAATTTCAGCGTACATGGCGTCGATTTCGGCGCGGTATTTCTTGGCAGCTTGGGGTCTCTTGAGTTTGAGGCTATTATGGATCGGTCAATACTCGTTTGACAAAGAAAAAGAAGAAAAAAAAAAAAAAGAAAAAAAAAAAAAAAAAAAAGAAAAAAGGGGGGTGGCGCGGCGTTGCTGGAGGGTCGAAAACGATAAAAAAAAAAAAAAACTTACGTCGGGGTGAGGAGCTCGTTGTCGATAGTAAAGGGCTCAACATCCAGGTAGATGCCCCTGACCTTCTCAAAACTGTTGAACTTGTGCTTGCGGCCAATGTTGTCGAGAATCTTGAGAAAGGCTTGCCTGATCTTGGACTCCTTGGCGGCGGCTCGCATGTCACTGGGGTCACTGGAAACGGTGCGGCCCAGGACCTTGGAGGCCCAAGTAGGGAAGTTCTCAGGGTCGACGCCAAAGATGGCAACGAGCACAGATTCCTTGGCATCGCCGTGGACGTAGCCCATGTTGATGAGGTTGGTGTTGGCAGCGTAGACGTTCTCGATACGCTCAGGGGAAATGTATTCGCCCTGAGACAGCTTCAAGACGTTCTTCTTGCGATCGATAATTTTAAAGCGGCCAAGCTTGTCAATCTCGCAGATGTCGCCCGTGTGGAACCAGCCATCAGCCTCGAGCACCTTCTTGGTCTCCTCCTCGTTCTTATAGTACTCCTTGAAGATGGCTGGGCCTCTGATGAGCACTTCACCGCGGGGATTGGGCTTATCGTCGACAGTATAATCAAACTCGGGGACGGACTCGAGGCACAGCTCGACGTCACCCATTGGGGGGCCAACGTTGCCGGTAGAGAAGTCCCCGTTCATCTGAAGAGTGCCGGTGGCATATGTCTCGGTCATGCCCCAGCCCTGCTGGAATGTGTTGGCGAAAGCGGCGCGCAGGAACTCCTGAACATCGGGGTCGAGCTGAGCGCTTCCGCTGATCATGGTGTGGGCGTTATCGAGACCAACGGCAGCTCTGACCTTGCGGGTCCAGATTCTGTCCCAGAAGAAGTGGGTGTTGGAGGCCTGAACGGGAGCAGCCTTCATGGCAGCTTTTTTGGAGTTGACGACGTGCCTTGAAAGAGCGCCCTTGAAGCCGTCAGCCTCCACCGTGGCGGTGCGAATGGCCGAGTTGAATCGGTTAAACAGTCGTGGGACGGAAATGAAGCCTGTGGGCTTGAGGATCTTGAGGTCGTCGACGAGACCCAAAACATCGCCGCGGAAGAAGCCCACGGCGGCACCTTCAGACAGCGCAATGTGATCAATGAGACGACCATAGATGTGCGCCAGTGGCAGGTATGACATGTGAACGTCACCCTCCTTGACGAGACCACCCAGGCGAGCAGCGGCGTTGGCGGAAACAGCATTTCCGTGGGAGAGGACAACACCCTTGGGAGGGCCAGTGGTGCCTGAGGTGTAGTTGATGGTGACAATGTCATCCCAGTCAGCGGGGCGCACGGGACGGCCAGATTCGACACCAATCTTCTCGACCTCGGTCATGGAGTAGATCTTGATGCCGTGCTGAGCAGCAAGGTCGCTTAGGAGATCGGCCTTGGACAGGCCAGGAAGCTCGCCGTGCTCAAGGGGGTCCATGGACACGATGAGCTTCAGGGAGGGGATACGCGGCGCAAGCTTGATGAGCCTGGAAATGTGAGGAAGCGAGCACACGACGCTGGGCAGTTCGGCATGGTTGATGATGTACTCTGTGGCATCGGGCCCGAGGGTCTCGTACAGCGAAACGGTATAAAGCGACTGGGAGGCGGCGGCGAGATCTGAGCAAGGCGAGCAAGCAGGGGGTTAGATTTTTCGTCTCGTTCAAGAGTGGTCGTGGTAATTTCTCCAGCATGAACATGGGTGGATTCTGGATAGGCGGGAGAGGCGTCGACTCACCGGCGATGTGCCACTCGGGACGGTTCTGGGACCAGAGACCAACGCCGTACTTGTCCTTGGGATATCCGATGCGTTTGTGGATCTCGACAAGGCCGGCGCCAAAGTTCTTTCTCCGGTCGGCAACGTCGGCGTAGTTGACCCACTCAAACTTGTCTCCCCAAGTCTGGGTGGCGGAGTTCCATTGACGAGTGCCCATGCATCGCCTGTTGGGAACCCTGAGAGCCGCAGCCTCGAACAAGTCGTGTATGGAGCGCACGTTGGGATCAAAGGTGGTCAGAAGCTCCCTATCGCGGAATCGCCAGCCTCTGTAGACGGCGCTGCGGCCGGGACGCTCTGAACCGGGGACGGGAACGCCGTAGGGGGAGCCCGGGGGGGGGACAGCGCCGAGCTCGAGCTGAAGCGTGGCAGGATCCTGGGCGGGAGGCATCGTGAGAATAAGGTGCCGGGTGAGGGTGGGCTCTGAAGCTGTTGGACAAGCTGGAGTCCCGACCACGGACCAGAAAGAAGGCCAATTGTCGCGGGCGTGAGGATGGCAATGGACAGGAAGGAGTTTAACGTGCCGGAGGGAGAAGTAGGGGAGAAGTCGAAGGATGTGAGCGGTCGAGGGATGTCACGGGTGGTTGATTTGGTGGGGAGCAAACGGCCGGCTCTGGGGGTAAGCCGTGGCGGATTTCGCAAACGCTTGATTGGGGCACGACGCCGACGCCGACGGCAACGGGGGGACCGGATTGGAGGGACGGGTGTCCTTTTTTTTTTTCTTCTTTTTTTTTCGGCGGCGCAAGCCCGTTTACGAAACGTGAATCGATATCCGTGACTGTGCTAGGCCGAGGTACGGGGGGCCTCGGTAGCCCCACATTGCTCACCGTGTACGGAAATAGAATACAGGCACTGCCTAGTACCCAGTACCTTCTTAAGTACTTATGTAGTAGCAAAATACCTGGACACTCACCCTCCATCAAGGCTCCGTACTCCGTACCGGCAACGTACTCCCTACACGCAAGCAAGGTGGTTGTGCAAGCTCCCAGGAAACAATGACGGCGCGCCAAGGCATTTCCAAGCCTGGGGTTCGGTGTCAAGTGTCGAGGTCAAGGGAGAGCAATCACCGTCACACGTCTCTGCGGGCCACCAGGCACAATGAGAAGTCTGAAGTCTGTCTGCTCCCTCCCGCTGCTCCGCATGTGGCCTTCTCGCCTCCACGTCCACGTCCCCTCCGCCTCCGCATCCGCATCCGCATCCAAGGCTCGACTTACATGTGAATTGATCCCACCGACCAGCCAATCCCCGTTGCGACTCGGCATTGGTGGACGCCCGACTACAAGCAGCCCGAAAAGCCAACTTCCCGTCAGCTTGTGGGGAGAATGGGACTGACTCCTACTAGTTTGAAGCTTGTGGCTTTCCTTGGCCAATAGATGCATCGCTCAGGTCCGGTCATGATTTCCAGAGCTCCCTCGCAGCCTAGGTGACGACGACGAAGCCTCTCATATCGTGGAACACGCCTCCAACGTGTTTGCTGCCAGGCCGCATGACCGGGTACACGGACACAGAGGGGCCAGGATTGCACGTCTTGCTGGGGCAGTAATACTTGTTTGGTGACGCTTTGGTGACGGGAGAGGATGCCGGTTCCCTTTATGTTTTCACACCGGCTTTGGGCTACCTACCCGAGAGCAAGCAGCTCGATTCTCAAGGGAAGTACGCAGAAGTGAGAACACTTCCCTGGTACTCCGTACCGTCCGACGTCTCGAGGCATAGTTACGACTTACAAGAAGGCCTGTCGAAAGGGTTTGCAGCAGCAGTGGGCTGCCCAACCCCCGTGCCATGCACAACGCACGTGGGCATCTGGACCAGACAGTCGCTCGACACAGCGTCCTTCGTATCGCAACATGTTTGTGCGGTGGCAACGTGTTTTCTTGCCGTGCACGACCCAAATGCTTAGGTCATGTCAGTTTCATGTCTTGGTGAGACCCTGAACACAGCAAGGGTGATGCAAGTCTCGGTAGACAACCCGATCCGGCACGGCAACGACGAAGGGGAAGTTCCAGTAGCAGAGGAAATACTACTGGAGGAAGAAGACGCGGACAGGGGGCCTATTGTACGAGAAACAACGACTTCTCGACTCCGCCGCGAGTCCAATAATACCAAGAGACGCCCGTGAGATCCTTCATCTGGTCACGGCATTGTCGACGCAGTTCCCGCTCTGTTTCAGACATGCTGTCGGCAGTCTCAGGATTGACACCGTCGCGTTGTAACGCCTAAAACCGCCCCCTTGGTAGCCAACCAAGCACCAAATTGCCAGTTTTAAAGCCATCCAGTCACTTGGCTCGCAGAATGAAGACGCATAATCGTCCTTTACCGCATTGGGGCGACCCGAGTGACCGGGAACGACGATCCCTCTTGCACGGCCCTCCCGCCTCCCTGCTGGCAATCTCCAGCATACGACACTACGACTGCAAATGAATGAATGAAACGTTTACGTTTTGTTAGACGTGTGTAGCATGCTGGGACTTGGGTGGTTTTCCCTCGCTTTTCGCGTCGTTGTTTATTTGTTTCCGTGTCTTCACTTCTCTTTGCGAAAATCGCAAGCCCGGCTGCCAAAGTGCCGCCAGCACCACCACTCATCTCTGCAATAAACCACCCGATTGATCCTCGCCCAGCATGAGCCAAATAAGCAGTCTTCTCCTCCGGGTTCTCCAAGCCATCTTGGCCGTGGCCAATCTCGGCCTCTCTGCCTACGGTGCGTCAGCTGCAGCAAGATAGGGGCATCGCAAGTAGACGACTGGACACCGCGAATGCTGAAAGTACTGACACCTTGAACCACGCAGTCATAAAATGGTACCGCATGTCAACGTCCCAGTCGCCGGACAGCTCCGTCAACTTCCTTCTTGCCGCGTCCATCCTGTCCATCCTGTCGATACTGTACCTGGTGCTGGCGCCTCGCTTCCTCAACCGGTTCGCACACCCCTATGCGGCGCTGGCGGTCCAGGGGCTCAACACCTGCTTCTACTTTGCCGGCTTCATCGCCCTCGCCGTCTACGTGGGCAGCCTGACCTTTTGCGAGGGCAGTGTCTGCAGGGCGAGTCGGGCGGACGCCGTCGTTGCGGCGGGTGCGTTTTGTGCCTGGATCGCGTCCACCATTTTGACGGCCAAGCAGATGATTGTTGGGGGTGCCGCCGCAAGACACAGGACACAAGGGCACATGGGGAAGATTTAGACCCTGTGAGACGGATGTGCTTGCTTCTCTACTGCTCTGGGGGCGGGTTTTTGGGCGTGCAACGGCGTAATTTCCTGTCATATTTGCTCTCCTACAGGCACCCAATCGACAACGTCATGGCCTGCATGGGGGACACTGGGACATGGAAACAGGGTTGCAATACACGTACGGAGTAGATGGGACGTCTTTGTAGAGTACTCAGGCAGAAGTTATTCCACACCAGTGCGCATAAAACATGCGAGTGAGCCGGCTTGCTCGGGTTCTGCCAGAGGCTTGGGTACACGTTAAAATACGAACTTGAACAAGACGTAATAGCTGGTGAGCAGCATGCGTCGATGCGTTGCCATACTTCTTGCTGTGGAGGCCAAGCCGAAGACGGGAAAGAAAACAAGAACAGGACTAGACTCTCGCAAACATTCGCTTCCTCGTAGGCCGTTGTTTCTGAAACTTATCATCAACAGGGGCGAATTCCGACAAGCCGCACTCTCAACGTCTGCGTTCCGTGCGAAAGGAGCCTTTTGCTTGGTCTACGCACCGGCTACGCTTCAGCTGTTTCTTCGACTCAGGTCGTTCCAGGAAATCTCGCAATCGTTGGGAGTTGTCCCGTATTATATTGACACCAGGTGAGGAGCATCCCTAAGCCAGCCCAGATGGAGTATTTCGGTGGCTACACACCATCTCAACGCTTCCTGAGTCGCCGGTCGGCCCTGTTCCTTTCTTCTGTCTTCTCGGAGACGTATTCTGGCCCTCGACGCGTCGGCCAGGGAATCCCTTGCCCTGTCGAGACGCCGGCGCAAGGTCCATCGTCGGCTCCTTCATCCAAACCTAGGCGGCGCCCGTATAGTCCCATTGTAGCATAGGTCAGTGGTCTTATGGACGAATGGGAGAGATTGTGCCAAATCTATATTTTCCTGACGAGTTCGTCAAGTCGTGTGCCTCAACTAGACATTGGGCGCCCTTTCACTTCCACAATTTTGACTGAAGATGGCTCGTATTTGGCGCCATATTTCCCTCGTAGAAGGAGCGCTGAGGAAATCAAGAACAAGATATAGCCTCGGGCAATGCAGGAGTTCAGGCCCCTGGATCAACGAAATGCCAGTCAATCGTGCCCAATCTGGACGTCGAAGGATAATGCTTGAATTCTGTGGTCACTTCATTAGTACTATTAATGTCTCGTAAAAGACTTGGGGCCATTCCACACGTACCGGCCAAAGATAAGTACCGTCAAGTCGTCTTCTGGTTTATATTCATACCAATCTAACGTGTGAAAAAGGGTCTGCTTTCTTGCGAAGTTTAAGAAAGTAGGTGAGGCGGTTTTACAGACGAGTGTCGTCGCGGAGGAGCGAGGCTGTCGGACGTCATGGTGACGGAAAATGACTACCATGGATGTAATAACAGTACTAGCCCAAGAACGGAGCCTGAGCTTCTCGGTGCGAATTCGTTCGCGATACTGTCAAAGAAAACGCAATGAGGGAGAAACACCGATACTCCTGTGTATCAATCCTTCAAATCGCCGCAGCGACGCTTCAAGATCCAAGTTGTGCCATACCAATCGATAATCAGAAGTTCATGGTAATACCGTAGCTGTTTCCTTGAGTATCTCTACTTGAGACGAATATGTCATGCATATTGTGCTATAGTGAACGAGGCCCAACGTGAATGTACCCACGTGGGACGACTTTTGGACGTCCCTTAAGCCAAATTAGAGGTAAAGAGGACAATGCCAAACTGGGCTTTGCATTTGTGTGAGTGGAATCAATTCCTGTATTGGCACGGATTTCGTCAGGTTGACAAAGGCTTGGCTCATTAAGCGTATAGGGCCCTGGAAAGCGTTCTGTAGTCAAAAGCCGAGTAGATCACAGTCTCGAGTTCCAACAGCCTGGTGTATGTAAAGCTCAACTGCGCTTGACTGCGTCATCTACACGAATGAGAAGCCCAGATCGGTCCGTTGCCGTTCAGTCAAGAGTCTCAGAGCTAGAGGCCCCTTAGGCTGGGAGGTGGAAACATTCTGGCAATGTTGAGAACCGCAATGATACTCAGAAAGCTGACGATGGCAACCCTGGCGCCTTACACAGAAGCTGTGAAGTGATGAAACTTTTAAAGTGGCGCTGATAAAGAAGTAGAAAAAATTTGAGGAGCAGATGTGTAAGTCGTCCTACATTGAGTACATTCACGGAAATTCGCATTCAGTCTATCTTTGCTTGTGATAGAGCTTTAAGACGGAGATGGGAAGTTCGGCTACTGCGTCTACCTTGTTAACGAGAAAATTGACCAGGGACTCGCTAGCGAGCACGAAAATTAGGAGAAGAACAAGAAACACGTACTTCATATCGTACTTTTATTGTTAGTAGTGGTACAAGCAGGATTTCATTACACAGTGTCGGAGGATGAGGGCGCTGCTTCGCCATCCCCGTTTCAAAGTCCGGAGCCGGACAGGCTCGGTTTCTGCGTGTGTGTACGACCTCCGCGCTTTGGGAGGAACTGATGCCAACGGAGCAGCCATAGCTTTCGTGCAGGGCTTCACCGCTTGGATAACTGGTCTCACGGTTCATAGTAGTTGCGTGGACAGTGCCCCAGAATGGTGTCCGGGAGTTGAAGAGAGTTTCGACTAGATAAAAGCAGCTTTACTTTCCTTGGAGCAACTCAAGCGTTAGCAAATGCTGCGTCCAATTGAGCCAAATCGGGCATCGACCTGCAGGCGGCACCAACTGACACACACAACGTACGTACGTACCTGGATACAGCAATCCGAGCTAGCGATATGTCCAGCCGAAAAGAAAGCATGTCTATTTTGTTTGCCGAGATGAGACGGCGGAATCAACAAGTCAGGGAAGCTATCAATGCACCTACTGTCTGAGTAGGGGGGAAGTATGGGATCATCATCAAATATTCGTGTACCAGCCAACTTACCTTTGGACTTCCCAACTGACTCTTGACGATCCCATTTCCTCTGTTCCTCAAACGAGGGTTAGCACACGCTCCACTGCCGAGATCCTAGGCAGCGACACCGGCGATATGATCACCTCAGACACGCAGCTCGACAGCTAGTGAGCGGCAGCTATCCAATAAAGCATGTAACGGCGACCAATAGACGGCGATGGCGTGCGATTTCAAGCACGCAGCGCAGCCTCGGCGAGCGATGGCGTGCTCGGTGGACAGGAGTTATTGTGTCGAACGGCGAGTAAGTTCTCGTGGCGTTTCCAGCTCGCTACCCCGCCGAAATGGCCAGACTACAGAGCAGGTCGAGGATCGAGGAGGACCCTGGGCAGCATTTGGGCATCTCCGGTTTCCCTTGCGTAACGAGTGGTTATGATCACGCAATTGGCTGCACGCAATTGGCTGTCATTAGGTGTTTTGTGTTGTGACTGTCGTCTGCCTTCGTCGGCGGTCGTCGGCGGTTTTTGTTGACTTGTAAACACGAAATTGGGCAGCTGCATCTTCCCGTGCCTTCCTTCCCCGCCCTCCAGTGCTCTTGTGCCGCCTTTTGCTGCTTGGGAAACCATTGACTCCTTGTGGACATTGCTTCTTGTCCCGCGCCATCTCGCCCTGTTCTCTTCCTGCCGTCATCAAGGAAGGTCAAAATGGCTGATTTGAGCCAAAAATTCGAGACGCTGCAGCTTCATGCTGGGTAAGTAGGGGGTTGCTTCGAGCCGGGTGAGACGTTGCACAACGACTGACGGTGTGTGTATTTTAGCCAGGAACCTGATCCAACCACCAAAGCGCGCGCCGTGCCCATTTACGCGACTACCGTGAGGATTTTCTGATGCCCTCCTTCGATCGGACCTTTGGGAAGGGAAACTGATGAGGGTAGAGCTACACTTTCAATGACTCCGCTCACGGCGCGAGGCTCTTTGGCCTCAAGGAGTTTGGCAACATCTATAGCCGTATCATGAACGTACGCCCACTCCTGACGTCAATCTTGGAAAGAACAAAGAAAGAATACAAAAGAAAAGCCAGCTGACGCCATGCCAAGCCCACCGTTGATGTTTTTGAAAAGCGCATCGCAGCTCTTGAAGGCGGTGTCGCTGCCCTCGCCGCCTCCTCCGGCCAAAGCGCTCAGTTCATCACCATCAACACCCTTGCCCACGCTGGCGATAACATTGTCTCGACTTCCAACCTCTACGGCGGCACCTACAACCAGTTCAAGGTGTTTCTTCCGCGCCTCGGCATCAAGACCAAGTTCGTCAGCGGCGACAAACCCGAGGACATTGCCGCCGCCATTGACAACCACACCAAGGCCGTTTATGTCGAGAGCATAGGCAATCCGCGATACAACGTGCCCGACCTAGAGGCCATTGCCAAAGTGGCGCACGACGCGGGCGTACCCCTGATCGTGGACAACACCTTTGGTGCCGGCGGCTATTTCATCCGTCCCATTGATCACGGCGCCGACATCGTCGTGCACTCTGCCACCAAGTGGATTGGAGGGCACGGCACCACCATCGGCGGGGTTGTCGTCGACTCTGGCAAGTTCGACTGGGGCAAGCACGCGAAGCGTTTCCCGCAGTTTGTCGAGCCGGCCGAGGGCTACCACGGCCTCAAGTTCTATGAGACCTTTGGCAACATCTCTTTCATCATAAGGGCGCGGGTGGAAATCCTGAGAGATTTGGGCGCCGCTCTGAACCCCTTTGCCGCGCAGCAGCTGCTACTCGGCATCGAGACGCTGAGTCTGCGTGCCGAGAGACATGCCCAGAATGCGCTGGCACTGGCTCAGTACCTGGAGAAGAGCCCCCATGTCAGCTGGGTCAGCTACCCTGGGTTGGAGAGCCATCCGTACTACGAGGCTGCCAAGAAGTACCTCAAAAGAGGATCTGGTGGTGTGCTGAGCTTTGGCGTCAAGGGCGGTGGTGCCGGCAGTCAGGTTGTGGATGGATTCAAGTTGATTTCCAACCTGGCCAATGTCGGCGATGCCAAGACGCTGGCCATTCAGTGAGTTCCGCCCCCTTCCCACGTCTTTGCATGGGATGAGGTGCCAATGCTTGCAGTCCCTGGTCCACGACGCACGAGCAGCTCTCCGACGAAGAAAAGGCCAACTCTGGTGTCACAGAGGTACGTGCAGACACTGGCGCTCTGTGGAGCAGGGGTTGTGGCGGCTAACATGTTGTAGGACCTTATTCGCATCTCGGTGGGTATCGAGCACATTGATGATATTATTGCTGATTTCGAGCAGTCGTTCAAGGCAGCCACAGCCGCCACCACCAAGTCATAGATTTGATTTGAACTTTATGCAGCCCTAGATGAATGAGAAAGTTGAATTTGACTGAAACTGCATGCATCGAAGCCCAGCGGTGCATCCACACAAGAGGGGACAAAGTTCAGATCGTAACGGCGGTATGTAGACTCGTGGGCCGCGACTATCTATGATGCAGGAATCTTTAGAACCTGTACTTCTTGCCACGGAAGCCACGGAGCAAGCTGTATAATGAGCCCGTCGAATACAATATATAAAAAAAAACAGAATAAATTGACCAATTGACAGACGAATGATGGCTTTCCAAAATCGTCATGCTCGGCTAAAGTAGCACAACGCACCACCGCCCCAGAGCAGCCTCTGATTGGCCCGCCCGCCCGCTCCAACAAACGTCGACCTCATCCTCTTCGCCCAAGCCACGGCCGCAAAACACCAAACCGTCATCACAACAGCCTTGCTGCGATGCGCTTCCCAGCCCTCGCGGTCCCGGCCCTCGCGGCACCCGCCCTCACGGCCTCCATCACGCTGTACCTCCCGCCGGCGCCCAACCCCTTCACGCTCCCGGCCTCGACGCGCGCGACGCTGACGACCCTCGGCGCCGCCTTCGCAGCACCCCTGTCCGCCGTCAACACCTTTGTCTTCCACAACGTCACGCCCGGCTCGTACCTAGCCGACATCCACTGCAAGACAGACGCCTTCCGCCCCCTCCGCATCGACGTGGCCCTCGACGCCGACGGCAAACAGACGCTCCGGGCATGGGACACGTTCCGCGGCAACGAATGGGGCAACAGAGGCGAGGCGCTCCCCGTCAAGGGCGGCAGCGCTCAATGGGGCGTCGAGGCCAAGAGCCTAGGCAAGAAGACGTACTTTATGGACCGGCCGCAGTGTTCGACGTCCCCCCCCTCCCCCTTCTTCCCTTTCTCACGAGGTCCCCGTCCCCGCGTCGGCCGGGCCAGGCTAACGGGATGCCAGTTTCCGTGCTGAGTATTCTGAAGAACCCCATGATCCTGATGGGTCTCGTGAGCATGCTCATCTTCTTTGGGATGCCGAAACTCGTGGAGAACAGTGCGTACAAAAGCCTTGATGGAAACGTGTGACGGCAAGGCGAGGCCCTGAGTGTGCTGACAAGGCCCCGGTAGTGGACCCCGATCTCAAGGCCGAGTTTGAGGCCCGGCAGCGCGAGGGCCCCATGGCGGCGGCCATGGGCGGGCAGCAGCAGAACCCGCTGGGGAACTTTGACATGGCTGCTTTCCTGGCGGGCTCGGGGAAGAAGGAGGGCGGCGGTGCGGGGGCCGTCGGCGACGCGAGGAACGAGCCTGTTAGACGGTGATTGAGTGGCCGCGTGCCGGCTTGGCTATCGCGAGCGACGACACTGGGCAACTGTTATTACACAAGGGCTTGGCCTCGCCAGGGGTGGCGAAAATAGTTTCCCCCCGTTGCATTTACATCCCCCCCCGACAAAAACAGCTATGCTATTCTCTGGAAATACTTTCCATACCCAAGGTCGTCGCGTTGACTCGTAAAACCTCCCTTCTGCTTAAAAGTCGCCGCCCCCAAAGTCGCCGCCGCCGTCGAAATCACCACCTCCGCCGTAATCGTTATCCATGCCGTCCTCTGCAAGCACGTTAGTAGTCGCCCCCAGTGGTTCGTCTGAGAGACGGGCAGACTCACGGTATCCTTGGTTATACTCGGCCTGGTCATGGTCGTGAATAGCGTCGGCAAGCAACGCGCCGCCCAAAACACCGGCGCCCAAACCCAGAGCACCGCCCGCGAGACCCATTCCCATGCCGCCCATACCGCCACCAGGTCTCCTTCCCGGCTGCTGCTGCTGCTGGTAGTAGCCACCTTGCGGGTATCCGCCACCATAAGCGCTGTACCCGGGCTGGGGAGGATACCCTCCGTATCCGGGCTGGCCATATCCCCCGCCATAAGCCCCCATAGGAGGACCCTGCTGAGAGTATCCGACATGCTGCTGGGGCAGCGAGCTCTGGTAGTTACTGTGCTGCGGATATCCACCGGCGAAGTTGGCCTGACCACTCTGTGGGGATTTCCCCTTGCCAAACAACTTCCCCAAGATCCCGCGATCTTTGCCCCTGGCATCATCTCTGGGAGGCAACGCCGTGGGGAAAGATGTGTGTGACTGTCCAGTGTGGCCCTGGGCAGACGAATCCGCCGCGCCGCCAGAGGCATATCCGGCCGGTGGTGTCGGGCCTCCGTGGGCCCTGGCATGCTCCTCGGCCTGAAGCTTCGCCGCCAGCTTGGCGTCTTCGTCCTGAGTTGACGACGAGCCTGCATTCTGGTCCTGGCCCGACCGGTCTTCGTAGGGGTTCTTCTTGGTATCTGTCGGCGCGGGCCCATTGCCCGGCTCGTACCCCGGCGGGGGGTCGTCCGGCATATTCTCGCCGACCGGGAAGACGGGCGCCGTAGGTTTTTCCCATTGCGACTTCTTGGTGTATACATTTACGTAGAACCTGCGGCAATTGCGTCAGCGCTCCGTCGCTCCAAACCATACACGACTTGAGCCTCGAGTCCTGTCGGCAATCAAGCGCAAGCTCACCACTCCTTGTATTGTTCGTTCCAGCGCGCCACCCAGCCAGCAGGTACCTCTGGGGCCTTTGGCGGCGGCGGCCCGGACGGCGGTGCGTAATCATCCATTTCCAAAGAATAGGGTTATGCGATTGATTGTATTTTTATTGTTTTTGCCCAACGCCTAGAAAGCGAAAAGGAACCCGGAGGAGGATATCCAATCGAGGGACTTTGCTGATGACTAAAGGCAAAGCGCTGAGCGTGACTCGCGAATTGGCGGACGGCGGGTAGTACTAAGAAATTGCTTCGGGGAAGCCGAACGGCAGTCCTCGGACTGTGTTTCTTTTTGACACGGATGGCCAACAAGACCTGCACGCTCAGATGCTATGCTGCGGATTTTGTTCGCAGGTTCGTATCGGAGGACAGGGCACAGTTCAGAAAAAAAAAGACAGAGAGTGAAAGGATGTAGCGGCGACATATGAATAAGAAATAGGTCACGCATGCCCCTACAGACGGGACCCCGCGCACATTAGCTCTGCGCCAAGGAGGAAGGAACGAACGGGCCACCTGCGGCTGCTCCACGATGCCTGTTCTGGAAGACCTGTCGTCATATTGACCAGTCGAGCAGCCAGGGGGGGAAAGGAGAAGAAGCTTTATCACTCCGTGACTCACCCTGCACTGCCACCTTTCCTCGAGCTCGCGGGAGGCCTGCAACGCGCGGTTGATACACAGATTGACGGGTGTTCGCCATCTGGGAGCATCGAGCCGCTTCGGGCTGATTCCGTTGCCGCATATCCGACGTGCCGGGCAGGGTCGTGTTCGCCCGCTGAACATGGAAGAGATGCTCGGGCTTTCAACTCCAACTATTGCTGCCGAGGAATGATTCCAACACGTACACACAAGACCGCCGCGCCGCCGTCAAACAAAGTGTCGCAAAATCATGGTTTAGCCGTGCCCCTGCGGCCATGAGTCGCCCGCCACCGACCTTTTTTTTAGATGGAAAGACGGCCCCGGAGCACCTCAGCCACTAACGCCCACAGCCTCGCTGACGAAAATATTCCATGAAACCAGCCAATACGCCTAGCCCCAGGTGTCTCCGCGTGGCGAACTTGCAACTACAGCTGCTGCGGCTGATGCAGCAATTTATCAACCTACGGGCCACTGGTTACCTGCGTCCGGAATTCGTCCTCACCGTCGACGTTCAAGTACACTCATTCAAAGTCAAGAGCTTCCAGTAGAACGCTGATTATGCCGTCTCCGACAAGTCTCACCGAGCAACATCGCCTGCCTCTACCATTCTACCTTTCCTCATGTGTTTCCAATATGCAAAACAGCAAAGGGATATGACGCTAGTACTTGATTCAAACATATCCCAAGTCCTCGCCAATTCGCCGCTCCCCGAACAGATACGCCGCCTCTAGGCAATAACGCCCATGTCCCCTCTCCATACGTCTCTCGCTGCCGTAGCATATAAGAACCCCATCCACAATACCGCTCAGGATGCCTTCCATGGCGCCCATAACCGAGTACCCAATGAAGCTAGCCATGATCCCAACAACGTATGCGTAGGCAGAGCCGCGGACGCCCATGCCATCGGGCAGTTGGATTCGAAGCTGCTTCGCCGTCATCACCCACCCTGCAAAGCCAAGACCTGTCGCCATGATCAGCCGCGTAGCCACGAGAAGCAGCTTCGCCAGTCTGTATGGCAAAAGTCCGTTTGCTTGGCCACGAAGACGCAGTGCTCGAGGTGTCAATGTCGTGGTGGGAATTGTCGGCGACACAATTTCCATTTGGTCAAGTCCTCTCGCCGAAACAGCGAGGCTTTGCGAGTGAATGGCACCGTACGTGATTGTCAACGGATTCGTAAGAGCTACAATCGGTGTGGGAATCCAGAATCCGGCCAAATTCGTAATCGCTCCGCCGACCCGCCGGGGGAGAAACAGCAACGGCGCTCGAATCAACAGCGAGAGCAGCGTAGACTGGCAGATGCTGCCAAAGATTGTCGTCGTCGCATGGCCGAGGGCTGCCGCAACAATTTCTCTGGATGGCGTGACGGGACCGGCGTTGCGGTGGAAATACCACTGCGAAACAGTAGCTGCAGTCGTTGCGCGGTGAACCGCATTAATGACGGACAGCGTCCACATGTACATCAAGATGAAGGCAGCCCCGAGCCACCAACTCGATATTTGAATGACGAACCTCACCAGCGACTTTGAAAAGTAACCACCCATGAAGACACGCGTGAACATGGCCAGCCAAGCCCACGTCCACACAACAATCAGTGCAAGGCAACCAAACCCAATGATGAGTAGACCCGGGTTCTGTGCCAGGATCTTGGACGAAAACTGCAGAATTTCAATAGCCTGCTGGATGGCTCGGCGACCCTTGACCACCAGCCAGAGCCACAGCACGCAAGATGCGGCAGGGATAAGCGATACCCACCTCATGACTGAATCTTGGACGCTGGATCCGTGTGTCCTTCCTTTGAATGATGAAATAAATGAGTACAGGGAAAATGACAGCATGATAACCGGTACTGCAATCAAAATGACGCTGACGAGCGGGCGAACAAAGGATCGCAGCGCGGCGAGCCATATGAAGGACACCAACACAGCAACCACAGTGTCCACTGCCAACATGTCAAACGACTTCTGAAGCGTGGCATATATCGTGTCACCAACTGGGCTCCTTTGCGGTGAAGTGTGCAGCCACACCAACACAAATGTCGACAGCATGCCCGCAAAGCTGATGAGGAATATCCATGCAAAGAACGGGTCATGCTTGAATAATTCGCCCTCGGTCAACAAATTTCCCGGCTGAGCGACGTCGTATTCCGGCGGTTCATTCCTGCGGACACTGCTGATATCGGACTCGGTTGTAGATGTTCTCCTCAAGATGAACGGTTCTCGCTCTGGTTGAGGCTTGAACCTCTGAAATGGCGGTGGGCTAGAATCGGTTGGTGCCTCACCTCCTAGTAACGATTCGGGCGGATCATCATCTCCTTCTTCCTGAGAATCCAGCCCGACATCGACCATAACTTTACTTTTTGCCTGTGAATGACTGCTAGTGGTATCCTGATGCTGCTCTTCGCTTGATTTCGAAAGTTCTTCGCTCTCCTCGAACACGGTATCGCTGGCAACAGGTGGTTTATGAGAGCTCCTCGCGCCGTTCCAACTACTTCTGATGCCTCGGCTAAAGACAGCATCTTGATAAGGATGGTCGACATCTCCCGTGCTGTCTTGGTTGGACCCGCGACTGTTGGCTGACTCGGCGCTCTCTGCGAGTTTACTTGCGGCGGCTACCCGCCGGGATCTTTGCAAGGCAAACAAATCTGCGGCTTCCCGCTCCCGTTCCTCTTCGTCGTCTTCTTCTCGAAACTCGTCAAGGGTGCTGTGGAAGAGCGGGGCGTCCTGGGCTGCCGATATCCGCGAGGCAAAACCTATGTTACCAAACCTCGAGCCGCTGCCGTTCTGTTGATAGGGATTTCCAGCATATCCCCTTGATAAGAAGGACCGGTGGGCTGTGCCTAACCTGCCGCCGTCTCGTTGGCCTCGCCCTGGCCTCGACAGCGGTGAGTCGTTGGATCTCGGATAATCATTGTCACCTTGTCCAGCAAAACCTGACAGTCTTGACTGGGACTGTGCCAAGAATCGTGATGCATCTGCGGAATCTCTAATCAATTTCGTGGACGATAACAACAAGGCAGATGGTCAGTCACAAACATTCTGAAAACATGGTTCTGTGTGTCTTGTATCCCCTATTTCACCATCCACCCCCACACGCCTCTGATTCTTTGAGGCCTTCTCCCGAGGAGGAGTTCGAGGAATGACGTCGCTGGATAGATACGGCGATGGAGACAGGTTGATAAATTATGCGGTGCTGGGCTGAGTGCCGGCGAAGTGTGCGGTGTGGTCGTTCTCGAATACGGCAGCTCCCTAGAAATTCCAGGTTAAGGGTATCGAAATGAGATGCAAGGACGGTCGAGTAAGGCTTCTGGTGAAGGACATGGGGGACGATGGAAGGAGTGGCGGTGATGATAACGAAATCTCCCCAGGCCGAAGCGTCGGGAGTTCCGGTCATGCGACGCGAGGTCGGGGGTCCTGGGATAAGTGCTAAGTAGGTAGTTACATGCAATTAGCGAAAGGATAAGTGCAGCTGATAGGCAGTTTGGATGGGGATACCTCGAGTACCTCGGACAGGCGTGACGGTTTGGTAGGAACAAATGTTACTCGACTTGAGCACCAGACGCTAAAGGGGACGGAGTAGTGTCAGTTCGAGTCTACGACGGTCAGCAGAATGCGTCAGGCGTCAGGCGGGGGAGTCACAGCGCCCCACCAAGAAGCAGCTGTTGGACACTTGCAGCGACAACCGGATTATAGAGGCCTAAAGCCCCAAGTTCACCTCAAGAACGTACTCACAACAGTGGATGCAGCTACTTACCTAGGAAGTAGGTACTTAAGTAAAGTACCTAGGTACTTAACCTAAGTACCTAAGTACTTGAGTACTTGGTATAAACTTTACAAGAGGACCCCTGGGCACTTGAGGCCTGAGGCCTAACCTCCAAGACCCGGTATCTAAACCATGGACCTCTGAACCTAAAGTCGATTAGTAAGTTATTGCATCTTGGATACGTCATTAGAATACGGCGACGTTCCGAGAACTCGACCAAACACCTGAAGCCGTCTAAGACATCCCCACTACTCTATTGTCTTGATCAAACAAGCTCGACTCTATTACCAACTCAAACGACGCCGAAGCCTTTGAAGCCAACACTGCTGCGCTCAGCGATGGGTAACCTTTGATGGTACCAGGCACCAGGGATCCCCCGGATAGCACAACCAGCGCCTTTTTCATATCAGCGGCCTGAGCCACCGTGACGTTTTTTCCACAAAGTCGATGTTCTTCATGGCGCGGCAGACTTCAGTTCACGAAACCTCTGTGCTGTTTCTTGACGAGGCGGCAAGCAGTGCACTCCAGAAATTTTTGTCCTTCACAGGCTGAAGGTTGGGAAAATGCATCATGCAGGCGTTGTTTTGGAAACGCGTGCAAAGGTTTGTCTAGGAGACGACGACGCGATTTTGATGCCTTTATTGAGCCTTCGATCTCGGCTCGTGCGCTGCTGTAGGCTGTTTCATGCCTTGCCCACGGTTGCACTTGGCCTATGGACCATTCCGCTGAATGGGGCGAAATACTTTCTCATTGTCGTTCTCTGGTGAAGACTTTGCCATGTGCTCTGACGTTCTACAGTGTTTAATGTCGTGACGAAATGCTAATGCTTTTGTTTCTACAGGAGACGTCAAGTTTATGACTCCCACCTACCCCTGATTCGATTTCCCGGTCGACTGTCCGCTTGACGGCGGAGCGCTCAGTGTCGGGTGGGTTTCTTTCGGCACGGGGTGAATGGTCGGGTCATCTGCATTCTCGTTTTCCCTCCAGCAAAGAAGATATGGCGACGTACAATGATGCCACTAACCTTGGGTTATCGCCGTCCTTTGGCGCTTCGAAAACGTAAAGCCGATAGTTTTCGGTATTAAATGTGTCCATCCGACCAAAGGCGACGCAGAGCCCGGTAATCGTGTAGGTGCGTGCACCAAGGGTTGTATTCGCAGTACGTATTAATATTTGTGGCGTTGAGGAAAATAATTTAGTTGCACATAATATTATATATAGTCTTAATTCCTTTATGTAAAGGAAATACCTGACAAGAGCTATATTTCCAGATGCTTGTATGTATAGCATCAGCCTAGGAAAAACTAAGGCATTAACACCTCAATGTCTTAAGCCGGGTTAGCGCAGCAGGGGCTGGGTCACGATAATGAGGGCTTGGAGCAAAAGACTAGATTCACATATAATATCGTACGATCTCCAAAGTCCATGTTCCCTCAACCTCACAGGACCAGACCAACGAGCGCTATATATATACACCAGAAGATGCCTCTGTGTGTAACTCGGCCTAGATGACCGAGGCATCAAGGGGTTGAGACATGTCGGGCCTTAGTGCATCGAGGTCCTTGACCGCAAGTTCCGTGTCACAGTTTCGCATCTTGCAATTTGTCCCAATTTCGCATGAACGCAGCGGTACTCGTCGATATGGACGAGCGGATCATCTCATGAGTCGGAAGTCCTTGTAACAGCAGGGTATTGCCAATCCAGCCTCATGCAATCACTGAACTGGTAAGCCCATTTGTCAGATGCCCCAAGATTATAGAGTCGAGATACCAGAAGAATATCAAGTCGATTATTGTCACACAGATGTTGGTCATGCAAGGTCTATGGTCACGAGACTCGGGGCGGAAGGCTGCCGCATAAATAGAAGCCTGTGCCCGCAAGGACCTCTAATACCAAGGCGGTGTTATATGCTGAATTGAGCTGCACATCGACAATTACCCTTGCATCGGGGTGCGATAACGCCGAAGATGGCCAGAACCCGAGCGTGCCCACAGAACAAGTCCAAGACTCGGCCCCCGCCCCAGGTATTGACTGGAGCAAGGGCTGGATGGCAGTGGCGATGATTAGGCCCCGGAGCAAATGACTCGATTCACGTGTAGTAATGTTGCATAGTCTCAAAGGTACCTGGGGAACCCAACTAACTAACTAGGGCTACGTATACCAGGAGATGCCTGTGTATGTACTCCGTAACGTGCCCCAGATGCTCAAGGCATTACCGGTAACCAACCTCTGTGCATTGCATTGCAGCAAGTCATGTAGTGGATGGAGTCTTTGGCCGCAAGTGCCATGTGACATCAAAGGACTGTCATAAATCAACTCTTGTGGCCAGGCATGCAGGTCCCGGCTGGTCGATCGGACGAGATGCTGCACATATGTGCCGTCCCTTTTTGCAATGAGCCGAAATGAACAGAGGAGTCAAGCTGTACGTAACAAGAGAATTTTGTCTATTTGCTTGGCGGGCAGGGGTTTGTGGGTCTTGAACGGTGATTGTGGGCTGATGATATACCTGCCGTCGGATCAGATAAGATCCTGCTCCATTGTTGGCCACTTTTCTTCCGTAGTGTGATTGGGTACTCGAGAGGAATCAGACGAGACAGGGGTATCGGACAGTCTCAATACAAAAGAAGCAGTATTGGTAGTATTATTATCCTGTCTATAAATTCTAACAGTCCTTTCTGGCCTGTCCGTCGTGGGAGGCATCCATCCACCTTGCTTCTCGGTTTAAAATTTGCCAAGAAATATCGTCTCCGCCGCCGCCTTGGATCAGATAAGATGTGATTGATAAAATTGACTTGTCCTTTGCAAAAAGTGTCTTGCCTTGATGCGATGCACGGCGGCAGAGGGCATGGGTGTGTAGAGATGGCCACACACGTTCCTGCTTCCGCAATGGACAACTGTCCGAAGGACACACAATGGCGAGAGAAGGATATTTGAACAGAGAGCCGCGGTCAGCATGGTGAGCGTGAAGAAAGATGGATCATGGCGTCTCTATTCGAGAGAGATGTGGTTTTCAGCCTCTTCGGTGCGACTGAGACCAACAGCTGATGTTGATATTGGCTCAAATAATGGCGAGCATATGGCGCCATGGCGAGCAGACGGTCCCCTCTTGTCCACCCCGGGCAATTTAAAATGCATTTCGCCGTGGTCAGGCGGGAATGTGACGGAAACACGAGCCGTAACTCCGACAAGCGAGCGAGCGATGGGACTCGACTAGGTGTCTGATGAGGCATTGTCTACATGGTGGGTTTTGCTGTCGCGCTGGCGTATATAAATCCCGTCGTTTCCTGCCTCGTCGTTCCCAGACAACCCAGCACAATCAAGCCAATCGCTCCGGATAACTGCCCCAGCCCCCGATCCCAAGACCCTTTCCAATCTAATCACATTACTAGCAACAAAAATGCGCTTCTCCTTTGCCATCCCCTTGCTCTTGGGAGCTGCTGTCAACGCTGCGCCCGTTCTTGAGACGAGGTCCACCGTCACCATCGTGAGGGAAGAGGGCCTCCCATTCAAATGGGATGGCTTAGAGCAGGCAATGGGAGGCTTAAAGATCAATAAAAATGGCAAAGAAGTCCGATTTCTCGACCTCTCCATGTACGGTCCCGTGAAAGATCATGAGGCAGGGTGCCACGCCACTTGTGGTAGGTTACGAGCCTTAATACATCCTGGACCGATGAGCCAGTAAAGACGGACCTGCTGATCTATCAATCACCTTTGAACAGGCCTTTTGGCTCGCGCAAAAGATGTTGATCTCAATTGCGAACTTCCGTACACGTCAGTTCTCTCCGACTACTGCTACGGCAAAGCTGAGGGACAATGCGGTTGGGACACTGGCGTATACGAGAACGCCGATACTGTCAAAGGGAACTGTGAAGGGAAAACAGTGACCTATGTAGTGAGTCACTCGATGCGCTGTTCTCAAAGATGATGCGAATGGCAGGCTGATAGGAAAAGACAGAGCGCCAGTAGTCCCGCCGCTTCATCCTCTCATGATCAAACCGAGGAGGCCTCTCATGAGCAAACCAAGGCCCCTTCCAAGTCCACCGATTCGAGCGAAAGCACCGCCCCTGCTTCCTCACCCACAGTCGTTCCAGCACCGCCTCACTCAACGGTAGCATCGGTCAGCGGTACCGTAGCCAGCACCGTTCCCAAACGTACGTGTGATGCCAACCCTCTGCCATGAAACTAGACCTCTTTTGGTGTTTTGGATTTTGACAATTTCGTGAAAAGAAAAAGACCATTGCCGCAGATCTCTAACTCGCCGCTCATAGCCACTTCGCCCAACGTAGGGCCTATGGTCGCCGGTGCTGCCAGCAATTCCTTGAGCGCTTTTGCCGCCATCACTGTCGCTATCCTCGCAGTCGTCATCGTCTAGAAGAAACCTGTTACTGTCAACTAGTCAGCATTTAAGAGAAGAGATATCACCGGTCTGACGAGTTCTAGATAAAGGTCAGAGTGTAATCATCAGGCCTCGTTGATGGGCCGCATGTAACTTAGTGGATTGGAACGGGTTTTTCTTCTGGTGCGCACTGCCGCGCAAACAGTTTATTTCTACACGTATTCATTCATTATTCTAAGATTCCATCAAAATTTGATCCCAACTGGTTGTCGTCGCAGCAGCAGAGACCATTGCTCTACGAAAATGTCGTCAGTGTTGCTGCATCTGTACAGCACGTGAGCCAATGGCTTGCTGAACAGTTGAGCGTGTCACTATGTGTAGGTGATTAAGTACCTACTTCTACTTGGTAAGTCCTTGGGTACCTACCTAGGTAAGTAGGTATCTAGGTAGGTACCTCTTGACTTATGTGCCGGGTACTTCCTCAAGGGTACCTCTTAGCTTAAGTGCTTAGAACATTTGAGGCGGACGAGGGTGCCATTAGCGAGCCTAAAGACGGGTGGCAGCAACTGCGCCAAGGTACTTGAGTACTTACTTCACGAGAGGCTTCCTTAGTTCCTGTAGTGTGTAGTGAATTCTCCCCGTGAATTGCACGCACCGCGGTTCATGACGCAAAAGCCTTGGAACGCTTTCACTTCCAGCTTAAACGTTGCCGCCAACCCGGTACCCCGTACTTGAGTACTTACTTAAAGTACTTCTCAAGCACCTGGGCACCTACCGCCCGCCGCAGATGTACACGCTACTTAAAGCAGGTAAGCAAGTAACTACTTAAGTACTAAGGACATACTTCCCTTACCCGAGGGCCCCCCCACAAGAGGAGTCGACCACGATGTACGCCGATGACAACGACCTGTGTATTGCGTCCCGATCCTTTGTCCTCTGCCCTTTCTGCCTTCCCTCCCGCAACTCCCATCACCAACCAGCCGTCTTCATACCAGGCCACCCTCACACCCGCGCGCCAGCCCATTGAAATCGCCATAGCCGGCCAGCTTTTCCGACTTCCCCCCTCGCACCAACCGTACGCACGCAGCCCGGGCCCCCGCCGTGCTCGAAGCTCGAACCGTCACTCGCCATCGAACAAACGTCCCGACCACACGAGGGCACAGATCCCCATGGCCTCCTCGCCGTGGGACTACATCGCCAAGCTCGTCTGCATAGGCGACTCGGGATGCGGCAAGTCCAGCCTGACAATCCGCCTCTGCGAAGGCCGCTTCTCCCCGCACCACGACGTCACCATCGGCGTGGAATTCGGCTCGCGCATCGTCCCCGTCGGCCCGCCGCACACCAGGCCCTCGAGCTTCCTCTCCTCCCCCTACACATCTCCGTCTCCGTCTGCGGCGGCGGCGGCGGCGAGCACGACCACGAGAACGACCACGAGCTCGGCCCCCCGGGCGGACGGGCTCCCTGAGCCGCCCCGCGACACGAGCAAAACGCCCCAGAAGCACATGAAGCTGTCCCTCTGGGATACGGCCGGCCAGGAGACCTACAAGTCCGTCACCCGCTCCTACTTCCGTGGTGCCAGCGGCGCCCTCCTCGTCTTCGACCTCTCGCGCAAACAGACCTTTCGGCACGTGACCGACTGGCTGAATGACCTGCGACAGATTGCGGAGCCAGACATCGTCGTCGTCCTCGTCGGTAACAAGGCCGACCTGGCGCAGCAGGAGGACAACAAGAGGGAGGTCACGCGGCAAGAGGCAGAGGAGTGGGCGAGGAGGAACGGCGTCTTGGAGTATGTCGAGACCAGTGCCAAGAGCGGCGAGAATGTCGAGCAGGCCTTCATGAGGGTTGCCGAGAGGATATTTCACAACATCCAGGCCGGCAAGTATGACTTGAATGATAGGAGGTCTGGCGTCAAGGGCCCCGGCGCCGCTGGTAATCGCCAGGTGAAGCTGGGTGCCGATGGCAAATCTGCCGCCGGTGGTGGCTGTTGCTGACCATCAGGTGTGAGTCCAAAGGCCAGGCAGGATATGGGCTCTCTCCTCGCTCAGCCTCTTGTCTGGGGCCGAGTGGCTTGGAGACTCTTGACGACCCAAACACGCTAGAGCATGTATGCACGATACCCCGTCATTGAACATTTTTCTGTTGCGCAATTGCCTCGGTTCTTGTCGCTCGTCATTATTACCATCACTGGATACAATGCATTGGGGTTAGACATTAATGCGTAATGTAATTTCTTTCCTCATCACATTTCAGCCTCCTTGGTACTCGGTCATGTTCAAAAAGAAAACCCACCACGGTTGCATTAGTCGCAGAGTTGTCCTCGACGGTAATTCTACACACACATACACACACACCATTTCTTTGATACATTTCCAGCCCGGCCTAAATATCATGAAACAAATTCCTCCCTTGGACGTATTTCACGCCCATTTTTTTGGTGAGAATCCCTGGTTCTCTTGATGTGTGGCATAGCTGCAAGCTATATTGTGGTTAAGGAACGTGTTTGAGGGGGAGAGGAGTTTGGTTTGCCTTTGCCACGGCGAGCGTCGAATGCCATGGCGTTCATTCGCTCACAAGCGTCCGCAGCACAAGTCCACGTCGACACCGCTTAGTCAGATATTTTCCAGTTGTCGAACCATTTCATGTAGCTATACTGCTGATTGGGACCAACCATTCCCCAGCAGATAGGCAGGAAGTAGACGTAGAGGCCAATGACGGCAGCATACAGGGCACCATATGTGATCCCCTGGACAGTTGTGTTGCGGTTTCTGACGGTCCAATCCACGAGGAAGCCAAAAGTAAGTATGGCAAAGTACAAGGCCGGATAGTAGTGGTGGACGTAGGTGACACGGGCCATGATGACGAATGGCAGGTAGTGTAGGAACCAGCCGGCGACAGGATAGATGCCAGAGTAGTGGATGTGGTCAATTTCCCGTGCATTTAGGTCAGTGAAGCCGCGTTGCCATCTCAAAATGTACCACACAACAACAAGGCCGACAATTCCAATACCAATGGTGGAGCCCCAGTAGATTAGGGGGTTTCCGAGCAGGAAGTACTTGACAATGTTGTCATCCCAACCACACATGCGGAGGCCGACGTGGAGAATGGGCCACTGCCACCACTTCGAGGCAAGGTCGTCCTGCTTGTCAGGATCGGGAACAAGAGCATTGTTGGAGGTCATCATGGCAACGTTGAGGTGAATGAAGTCGTGGAAAAAAGGAGACTTGTAAACACCTGGGTCACCAGCGGGCAGTTTGTCGTTCCAGTGGGCTTCAACGTTCCAGTGGGTATAAGCATCGCGAGGATTGTTCTCCTTGGTGCAGGAGACCTCGATCTGCTTGAAACCCCACTGGGGGAGGTTTTTATTTGTGCCCTTCAGATAGCAACCCAAAACTTCATGCTTGAGACGGAAAGCCGTTGTCAGAGTCCGGATTCGGCTGCGGTCCCGGGACGCCACATCTCGGACAACCTCAACCTTCCAGTGATCCTTTTCATCGCCGACAGTAAGGTTACCATAACAAGAGACTTCCTTGTCGCTTTTGGACACTGGGGCGGCGATATCGTGAGAGTGCAAGTTGCGTCCAGTGTGCGCGTGGATTAAACGGATCGTGCCACCGTCACCGATAAAGCGAAGGTCCGGGGACTCGGGGTCGAAGTCGGGCTCACGGCGGTTGGGATAGAAGAACCAGTCGTTGTTGGCATCCTTATGGTGATAGCAAGTGACTTGCTGTTGCTGAGAACCTTCGGGATATGTCTGAACGTGGGAGTGAAGCAGTCCGCCACCGTAACCCATATTCTTGATAGTAGCACGAGAACCGTAAGCGATTTCCAAGGGACTGTTCTTTCCAACCTCTGTGCCCTTCAGATTAGCCTGGAAGAGGGAACTCATCTGGGCATCGCCGGGACCAGTGCGATCGAGGATGGCGAAGTGAAGGGCAAAGGAGAGGAGGTAGATAAGGAAGGGGACGAGGATCAGCCCAACGACACGAGCGACAACATGAGCAGCCAGGGTCGTCTGTGTGGTGTTAGCATACACCAATGGCAGACTCGGAAGGAATGGACAATTCGGCTGTGACTTACGATGGGCATCTTGGTGTTACCAAACTTGTTCCACAAATCCTCAATAGTGTACAGACCAACGAGGGCCGTAACGAAAAGGCCGACCAGTTTGACACTGCAGACACAGCCAATGCTAAAACCAGTCATGAAGAGCCAGAAGAACCATTCAGGCTCAAAACTGTTGTGGCGTTGATTGTGGAACTTGGCCCAGCAAAGGGTAGTAGCGACAGTACCGCAAAGCAGCATCGAATCGAGGAGGATAAAACGGCTAATCGTGGTGAATGAGTTCTCGCAAAGGACCATCAGCGTAACAAGCCAGACGGCAGATCGGCGGAGGTTGAGCTCGCGGGCGGTGTAATAGGTCATGGGAATGCAGACGATGCCAAACAAGGCGTTGAAGGCTCGCATGAAAGTGTAGTTGACTTCCTCAGGGTACTTTTCGCCAGATTTGAACTCAAAAGACCCATTGTATCCGCCAAGAAAACCAGACAATCCAACAAGCATCTTTCCAAGAGGTGGGTGGACATCAAAATAGTATTCGTGCTTGATGTAATAGCTGCCAAATTTGCCAAAGCTGTGATTGCCCAAGGTCAGCTCTCAGAACTGGGAGCAATAGAGCGGCAGGAAGCTAGACAGAGCAAACTTACTGGGCCTCATCCCAGGTAACAATGTCGCTCAGACCAATCTTCCACAGTCGCGTGAAGAAGGCGAGGGCCGTGAAGATGAGTGGAGCAATGATGTGCTCCCACTCTGCAAAAGCTTCAACAAGGTTCTTTTCCGTCTGTTTCAATGGTCAGTCGTCCCGTCCGCCCGTCGTTGGTGGCTTTGAAAGAAAATCCGTCTGCTTCGGTCTCACCTTTCTAGCCGCCCGCTTCGTGTAGTCGGCGGGCTGAGGTACAAGGCGAGCTGGAGGGCTGCTATTCACGGGACGCTTTCGCAGCCCTTCGCCTACGTCAGCGCCAGAGGCGACGGCGGCCTTGTCGCCTACCATGGCAAATCAATTAAGAAAGGGCTATAAAGATTCGACGGGACTGATTCGACGAGGTCGAGAAGAAGAAATAGCACCGGACGTTGGCAGACCCAAAGTGCCACTTTGCTTTCGACGCGAAAACCCAAGGCACTCGTAGACGGCGGCCTTCTAGAGGCGTAACGATGGGACGAGCGAGGACAACTCAAAAGAAAAAGTGGAAAAAAGTCCCCTTGATCGACGATGGTAAGCTCGTCGTCAATGGGAAAAGAATAAAAATTCCCGAGAAAGGGGAGGGAAAACGATGCTCAGGAGATGGCAAGGTGACCGAGATGGACATGGAAAAGATTCAGGAGGGGCCAAGCTTGTCGAGGGCAATTATTGAGAATAACGATTGCGGCCCTCTGGCCGGCCGGCCGCAGTGCGGGCTGGCAGGTGCACGGGGACCACCAGCAGTGGAATTTGGCACTAGGCACTTGCAGGTAGAGGTACTCGGTAAGCCCCAGGGTGCACGCCCGACATTGCAGCCGAATGCGCTAAAATGCCACATTGAGACATTTGCTTTAGCGGCTGGCCGACATGCGGCTGGGTGACAAGCACGTAGCGAAGCAGAAGCCCTCAGCGGCCGAGGAACGCGTGGCGCCCGAAAAGGTCTGGCGGGTTTCACAGACTCGATGATGGACCAAAATACTCAATGAATTCGGAACGAGTCCGTATCCGACAATGAGACGTTGACGCTCAGTGCTTCCATATTCTACAGCTGCTTCCGGCACGGTCCAATCACCACCGATGGCGGCGATGCGCCAAGGGTCCGATGAAGCCAGCTCAAGGCAGGCTCAGGCAGGCTCAGGCAGGCTCAGGCAGGCTCCTGGCGAGGACACAGGTACGGATAGCCAATTAATTGGAGCCTTGTTCCAAGTACCAGTATGGGAGTTCCCCAGCATTGTACGGAGTACAGTAGCTGGAAGTCGCGCCACCACTCCGTACGGAGGGCAGAGAGCTACACCAAACATGTCACAGCTTCAACGCGAGCGAGGTCATAAAAATGCAACCAGGGAATTGGGAACCCTTGGCCTCACTGGAGCCTTGACAGATTCTAGGGCATGCCAGTCGGCACGTTGCGCAGAGTCGCAGAGGACTTAAGTAGGGGCCACGTACGTACCGCACCGAGTGCCTACTTCCTCATAAGTACCTAGGTACTCAAGAGGTACTTAGACGTACTAGGTGGGTACCTTGGCATGTATGTACACTCGCGGTGCAAACAAACTTACCAAGTACCTAGGTACTTAATTCAAGTAGAGACTGACGTCGGGTCCCGGGCAAAGCAAAGAGCCATCGTCTCGGCCATCACATGATAGACGATAGGGGCCCACTGCTGCCATCGCCATGGCCCGGTCGTCAACCAGTCAAGGGCCTTGGAAGCCGCTCGGAATCAGTGCGAGCCGTGTTATGTCATCCAGTCTGGTGCGCCGTTGAAGCACCGACTAGCTGTCGACGACGCAGCGGCGGGACCGGTTGACCCCGGAGCGCCGAAGCACTCGTTATTACATCGCAACAAAATGTCAGCAGTGTCTCTTGCTCTATCCTCATCGCCCTCGCCGTGCGCTTCACCTACGATTCCCTCTCACGTGTTCAAAGATTGCTTTCTATTCCGAGAGGGGAGAGAACGGGAAATTGGCCCGCAGCCCACTTCCAATCTCTGTTTCTGCCGAGGCCGCTCTCCACCACCAGACTGTGGCCAACTCAATGTCTTCTCTCGTCTCCGAATTCATCATTAACCCCGTCCTACGCCAAGCTCGCCGCTTTTCTGAGATATCACGCACGACCGTGACTGGCGAGGAACATGAAGCGGCCCCTGCGTCGGATACCGATGCAGTAAACGACTCCGGCACTACCGGGACCGTCGTACATGAAGCACCTGGGCAACTCGGGACTGCCGGCGAGGAAACCATGGCGAGGCGTCCAGAAACACCCCGATCACGGGTTGTGAGCACATCAACACAGGAAACCAGAGTGGGGGACGTCTTTGAATCTCCTCCGACAAGCGACAATACCACTCACGACCACTTAGGGTTTACTCTGACCCCGAGAAAGGGTCGCGCGATTCCGGAGGACGATGGAATGCAGGAGTTGAGGAAACGCATCCAGGCGATAAATGCTGGAAACTCGCCGCCAGCTGAGAAAGCCAGGCGTATGCACGAACTCCTCCTGGAAGGCTATCATGCTTCGCAAGTGGCCAACTGCACAAAACCAACAGCTCCTTCGGAAGAAGAATTGGGTCATGAATGGGAATCTTCAGCCTCCCCAGGTCCTTTGGAGTCTCTCAAGTCATGGTATAACCAGGCCACAGATCAACTCTCAACTGCGGACAAGTTTGTCATCAGCAACAGCGATATTGCCCCGACTTTTGCGCCGATACGTTCACGTAAGGGCTCGGATGTAGAGCTGCAGGGGCAGGGTCTCACGACGCCACCAGAGTCCCAGCCGCCGTTGGGCTGTCAACACTATGAACGAAACGTCAAGTTGCAGTGCTTTACTTGCAAGAGGTGGTATACTTGTCGATTTTGCCACGATGCTGCGGAAGACCACAGCCTAGTTCGGAGGGAAACGAGAAACATGCTTTGTATGCTTTGCGGAACACCGCAAAAGGCCTCTGAAGTGTGTATCAGCTGTGGCAAAATCTCGGCTCACTACTACTGCAATATTTGCAAACTGTGGGAGAATCGAAAGAGGAAACCAATATATCACTGTAACGACTGTGGTATCTGCCGCCGAGGACTTGGCTTGGGAAAGGACTTTTTTCACTGCAAGGTAAGCTACTCATGGAGAACTCTTCGTCTTGATGTAAGTATTTACTCACTAGCCTCAAGACTTGCCGTGCGTGCATAACCACGTCCATCCAGAGCTCCCACAAGTGTATCGAGAGGTCCACGGATTGCGACTGCCCAATCTGCGGAGAGTACATGTTCACGTCACCCAAGCCTGTGGTGTTTATGCCATGTGGACATAGCATACATAAGAAGTGCTATGACCAACACATGAAAGTCTCGTACAAGTGTCCAATCTGCAATAAGAGCCTGGCCAACATGGAGACTCACTTTCGCAACCTGGATGTCGCTATTGCAAATCAGCCCATGCCCCCGGAATTTCGAGATACCAAAGCAACTGTCCTCTGCAATGATTGCTCTGGAAAATGCGTTGTTCCCTACCACTGGCTTGGCCTGAAATGCTCGATATGCCAATCATACAACACTGTGGAGTTGCAGATGCACGGGCAGAGCAGCCAAGAGCTTCAGACCGCCACAGAGAGGACGGAGGCGGCAGTAAGCGCGCAGACCTCAGCCGCTGTTCAACGTCAGGCCATGACTCCTCCGGCAACGTCATCTCGAGCTGGTGCTTGGATTCCAAACAGGAGACGACACTCCTCACACGGAACTGAGCTTCAGCACCGTGCTTCAGATAGGTTCGCGCGATCATTCTCCCCTCTTGAGTCGGGCACCGATTCCTACCTTCCTCAAATTGCCGCTGATATCGACTCCGACGACGATATCTTGGGACTCTGGAGAGGGAGTAGGAGCCAAGAAGATCAAGTTGGGGATGAAGATGAGGGCGAGTTTGGCCAAGGAAATTCTGATTCCGATCAGGATAGTGAAGGCATCATGAGTGCAGATGAGGATGACGACGACGACGACGACGACGACGATGACGACATTCTTCTCATTGGACACAGGTGAAGGAAATTGCCGTATCGCATCAAGCCGCCACGAGGAATGACTGTATGCCAACAACGGATGTATTTTTCGGTCTTTTTTTGAAGTTCAGCATGTCATGTGGAGTTGTAGGTTTGCTTTCCAACCAAGGGTGTTCGCAGTCATGTTGTGATCAACAGAGCATGACGAGGATTATTGTGTCCATTTGCATTGTAAGATACAGAAGGAACAAGCGGTCAGAATGAGCATCGAGAAGTGCACTCTACAAATAGCATCATAGCATATATCCATATCAAGAGAAGTCAAGCCTGTTGCCCTAAACTCCGGCTTCCGACATTTGTTTCCTCGGAGCAATCACACTTCATCATTTCGTGTGTGCAAATCATGCCCGTCCGCCGCCTGCCTGCCTCTCAACATCCTGAGCCTCCTGTCTCAAGTCCTTGATTATCCTCTACAAACGCATCAGCATCAGGTCCTCTGGTGGGTTCAAAATTCCCGTCCTGCTCTTACCGCCAGCGCTTCTGGGTTGACGCCCTTCTCAATCATTGACACGCAAATCGATATGGCTCGTCTGTCCAGGTGGCAGTTCTACTGACGTGTAAGAGCCTATTCACTCGGGAGCCAAGGGACGACGCGCAAGACGGGGACGACGAACCAGAAGGGTAGATATTTCGTGGAGAATGTCAACTGCTTGCTGGGCGGCCGCGCGCTTGTCGGGCTCGGGTTTCCTGCCTGGATCGGGCATGGCGAGCTACGTTGTTGACGGAGGGAAGTTTGAGGACTGGGTTCCGCGGGTGGGGGAGCGCGTTGCTCTCTCTAGACGTCGACGGCCGACGCGGCGGTGGGTTGACGAGTTGCGGGGATGATTTTGTGCGTCGCGCGGATGGGTTGTATGGCAGAACAGAGCAGAGAGCATTTACTTCTCCCCCTCCCACGTTTGACACACGTGCTCTGCGGTCGACGGTGATGGTCGAGAATCATTTCTGGTGATTTCCGAAGTGAGCAATTAAACCACTTCTGTTCAAGGTTGAAACTGGCTGTGGCAAAATACATCTCCTTGGCCATGGCCCAGAATGTCGCCAAACACCACGCATCGTGCCATCATAAGATCCGAAAAGTCAAGTATGCTCGTCGCTGAACAATATCTCGCCTACGACGACTTCATGGCCTCCACGAACAACTCCCGCATCCCCTTCAGCAGCACCGCCAGCTCTCTACTCTCGTTCACCCTCTCCAGCACCCTCTCCACGTCCTCCCTCTCCAATTTCGGTCGGCAGTGCTTGACGTCGTAGTCTCTCGAGCTCGTCGCCAGCTCAAACCACGCCTCTCGCTCCCAGTTCTTCTCATCAATGTGCGTGTACACAAACTTCAACCGGTCATCCTGTCCCGCACCCTCGATCCGCAAGCACAGGTTTGTGATCCAGAAATCTAGCTCCGGCACGTTGAACCTCTGCTGCGCTTCCTGCTGCGCCGCGTGCGCGCGCTGCGCCGCAACCCGCGATTCTATCTCCGCTTGCGTCTGGGCGATTTGTTGTTTGAGCTTCTCCCGCGTAGCGAGGTGGGCGTCGCGCTGCGCCGAGAGCGACGCAATTGCCGCCTCCATTTCTCGCGTTTCGGCGTCTTCCTTCTCCAGTGTGTGCTGGTAGGCCGTGCTTTTGACCTGGACGATTTCAATGTCCCTCTTCTTCATGCGCTGGTCCTCTGCATGGTAGGTCAGTCGGGGGGGCCTGTTGATGAATGGCAATCAAGACGCGTGTGGGGGAGGAAAGCTGTCGTACCTTGAAGCTCGACAACATTGATGCGGAATTGGTTGCGCTCTTCCAAGACTCTTTTTCGTCCTTGCTCGATAAACTCGTCGAATTTGGCGGTGAATTTGGCCATGCGATCTCGCAAATCGTCGAATCCAAAGTTGATGCTCGGGAGACTGTCTGCTAGGGGTGGCCCGACGGTTGCCATGGTCGGTCGGCTGCCGCTGGCAGAGAATGAAGGTTCAAACGTTGTAGTCATTTTACTTATTATTATTACTTTCGTGTGCGTCTTTCTCTCGCTGTCCTGTTTATCGGCGACTGGCCGCGGCGTTGAGCAAATCTCGAGTCTAACCAGGCTCTGCTTTGTTGGGTGTTTACCGTATCGGGCTGTTGCTGGGTCAACGCGACCGCCGGCCTGGGACCCTTCGCACTAAACGCGGTCACGTGCCTCGTTTTGACCCCAGACTTCAAGCTCCCAACAATCATTCTCACGATGGGCAAGTTGCCTCGAAGACGGAAAGGCCTTGTCGCGTTCGATTCCCACAATGAGCCGAGATGCCAGTGTCCATGGCTCCGACATTCGGGATTGTCGGGTCTTTAGCCGAGTTGTATCCGCCATCGAAGCAGACAGTTCCAGAGTCCTCCGCCAGCTTTTGGAAGGCGCGCAAAGTTCAGCAGAGATGGCTGTTAAACTCGCACCCCGAAGCCTTTCTAGGTGGCGCTACAGATTTGGAAGATCTTCTCAAGGAGAATATGGACCGCTTCGAGAAATCGGGAGACGGCGACACTGGCGGACCTCTTCTCGCGGTCGGTGAGATGTCTGACCGGAGACAGCCCTCCGGCATTAAAGGAGTACCGGTGCTGGCAGTGGCCACGGGAAAATCTGGTTCCCAGCTACGGCTGACGAGGATGGAAAAGTCCCAGTGGCGGTGGGAAGAGGGGAAAGATGCGACTCTCAATCTCTCAGTCATTGACTTTACTCACCAGGAGGAGGAGTCGATATGGACGGGTGACGGTTTACCCATTACGAAGATCAAGTTCGCCACGTCGTACTGGCAATCTGGACCAGCGCGATGGCTCCTGGTTCAAAGCCAAACTTCTGTGACCGTTCTACGTCCCGAGTACCACCCAAGTCCATTGCCAGACAGCAGTAGATCGGGTCCTCCGTCACAGCCGCCGTCCTATATTACGCCAAATCCCTTAATCACACTACATCACCATCAAACGGGCGGTAACACTTTCTCTGATGTTTGCTTTGATCCGACACCCAGTGGATCTCTGCCGCAAATAGCCGTCATTGACGAGTGTGGTTACTGGAGTGTTTGGCGTCTACAAGGTGCTTGGCAAGTAGCCAAGAAGACGGTGCGGCTATCTTTGTACAAGTGTGGCCACATATGCGAGGGCGTCGTCGGCACGGTCCCGCGCGTTCCCGGGTTTCCCGCTCAGAGGCATGGCATGCTGCAAATTGGACAGCCTGATGAAGAAGGATTGCCGAATGTCACCAGCAAACGCGCTCTTAGTCATTCACAACGTGTCTTGGTGTGGAACTCGGAACGCATCTCTCTCCTGGACGTTGAGGCCGACTCCGTTCCGACTTATTCATACGTCCTCTCCTCGCAATCAAGGGCGAAATCAGGCCTCATTCTGGACATCCAGAGTAGCCCGAGTAACGAGAACCACGCCTTCGTCCTGACTACTCACCAGGTCATCTGGTTAGATTTACTTCCCGAGGCTGTAGAGCCCGGGACCATCGCTCGGCCAAAAGCCTTACTCGCTTGCTCTCATATCGGTCTTTGGAATGAAGGCTGCAACATGTCCGTCTGTTCGGTGTCTGAAAATCAGACGGATGGCAGCATGGTCTTGGTTTTTTCACCTTCCACGGATCAGCTGACCGTGTACTGGTTTAACTTTTCTTCAGAGACGGAGCTCCCGCAGTGGCACCGTCACACCACTTCTCTGTCCGAACGAGGCAAAGCGCCATCGCTCAGCAAAGCACAGACTATAAGAGTACAGCCTGCAAAGCTTGACTTATCAGCCGTAGGAGACGAATCTGGGCCAGGAACGAAATATGCCCGTGCAGGCATCAAATTCTACCAGGTCACTATTCTTGACGAAGACTTGGCTGTGCGATACTGCATATGCGCCACCTCTATTGACCCGTCGTTGGAGGTGAGCCTGCCTACATCCCGTATTGGTTGGTCCAAGTCAGAAAATCGCCGACGTTGGAAGCGGAGGAGGAAGCGTCTCTTGAGCCACATGGGGGATATCTTCGTGCTTCCAGACGGCATGACGGACAAGGACTTGGATTCTTTGCTTAAGCAGCAGAGATCCAGGCCAGGCGACGAAAATACCTCTGACGAGGTCGTAGTAAGCAAAGCTAGGCCTGTTTTATTAAAACTTGACCCTCTAGCTCAAAAAATTACGTCGCAACTACAAGCTACAATTTCTCAAGGCGTGCGCGGTCTCCCGACGCACCTCGTTGATGCCATTCGCCGTGTGACAGAACGAGGTGTGGAGGAGGGCTCTTTTCCTCTGACATCTTGGTGAGTTGGATATCCCCTAGTCTTGTGCCGAGGCAAAATGCTAACCCAGGCTACAGGATGGAGATTGTATCGACCCTCGAACAGCCGATCAATTACGGGGATCCTAACGAAGGGATGGAAGCCGAAATCGAAGGGCTACTAGACAATGCAGATGAACATGTGGCTGTGACGCAACTGAGAAGACGACACGCAGATGATCCACCCGGTTCTCTTCTCAGTTATCCCTTCTTTATCAAAGAACTTTCTGAGCTGTGGCTAGCGCCGGTAGCAGACTCTCTGCCAAAAGACAAGCAAGGGGTTCGGGAAATCTGGGTGACGGAGATTGCTAAGGATATGTTCTTGTCCAGCTACGGCGTCACGGTGCAGAATGTCGCCCTCTTTGGACCGAGAGGTTCCGAAGCCGCGGAAAAGAGCCGGATCAACCTGTTCCAGGCACGTTCTTCCAGTCAGTTACCGTGTTCCAGCCAGGCGATGGCCCCATCGTCGCAAGTATCTGCTTCAGCCGATGACGCTCCCGATGCTGCCTTCCAGCGGCTGAAACTCCTCGCACCAACGATCAAACAAGGGGCTCTAGGATCGCTCAGGCCGCCAAAGATTCTCTCCTACTGGCCTACGGAGCGTGGAGTCGCCACCGAAGACTACGTTTCTAGTATTGTGTTGGCAACAGAGGAGAAGCTGTCCCTCGCCAAACGGCGTCTGCAGAGAATCGAAACCAAGAGAAGGGCTCAATCTGAAAAGTTCAAGCGTCCTGCGTTCATGCGACAAGGCTTTCCAGCCAGCGACGGCCTCGGCGAAGATTCTTCAACCATGGGCATGCGACCACCCCCAGTACAAGCAATGTCCAGCCAGCAGCGCATCCCAGACTCGTCGCCGTCCATTGGCATTATGGGGCCGTCTGTGACAATGAGTCAGCCCGTTTCGGGTGTTTTTGGAGATAGAAAAAGGGTGAAGAAGGGGAAGAGGAGGAGCGGATTCCGATGAAGCAGTTGCATTATTTTTTTTAAGATACCCAGGCGTTTATACATGATGTGAGAAAAGCTCACAGCAAAGGAATATCCCTGTCCTGTTTGTTATGTTTTTCTTTTTTCGGGGTCGCTGCTCACGTGGCGACACTCTGTCATGGACCCAAGAGGGGAACCAGTTTGATGGTCACCACTATGATATACATGCTTACTGATAAGCCCATACCTATTATACTGCAGTACGTTACTAGGAGCTTGGTCCTGAATCTCGCTTGTCAGGGCGTCGGATTCCAGGATTCACTGGCATATACGTAGCGACAGGAGAACATGGGTGGTTACTGAATGAGGACTGACGGACTGACGCGAGACGAAACCCCAAACGCTGCAGCAGCAGCCGCGCAGGATCAGTGCACCCCAGCCCCCAGAAGAATGTGCAAAACTCCAAGTCACGGTAAGGCACCACGCCGACAGACAATAGAAGACCGGAACCAGATGTAAATCAGTTATACTGGCCGGAAGTTGGAACAAACACCATCAACTCGGCGGGGCGGTTTGTTTCATCCCCACCAAGAAAAGCGGCGGTGCTCCCCGCCATCCAGTTCCGTCCAACCACCTGCCATCAACAGCAAACTGTACTCGTCGATCTCTCATCTCACGAGTGGACGGCTTCCTTTGCTACTCATTCCCACCGCGTGGAACACAGCCTCAGACCTGGCCGCACCATGTCCCACTGCCACGACGAGCACGGCGCGCACGAGCACCACGATGGCCACGAGCACGATCACTCAGACGACGTCACCCCGGCCCTGCAGGCGTCTCTCTACCAGCAAATCAACTTTGATGAAATCACAACACTGAACGAATCGAGACGAGATGCCGGCAAGGCCATCGTCAAGAAGACGTGGGCAGAGAGACTGGATGCCGAGCCAGAGCTGGCGAGTGACGCCGATGAACAGCTGCTCATGACCGTGCCGTAGGTTTTCTCTCTCTCACTCCTCCTCTCTCGCCGCCACCAGAGGGGGCCTGCCTGTAATTGAACCCTTCTCGATACTCGGAAAGCAGACAGCTAAACAATGCGCAGCTTCGCCGCCCAAGTCAAGCTGCACTCCGTCCTCATCCGCACATCCCCGTCCCCCTCTGCACCCAAAACACTCCACCTCTTCGTCAACCACGACGGCCTGGACTTTTCAGCAGCCGAAGACACGGAGCCGGTGCAGAAGATCGAGCTCTCCCAGACGTCTGACGTGCAAGAGATCCCCGTCAAGAGAGCGCTGTTTGGCAACGTCCAGCGGCTGGTGCTCTTCTTTGTGGACAATTTCGGGGACGGGGGCGAGGACGTCTCGCGCGTAAGCTACATCGGCTTCAAAGGCGAGTGGACGAAGCTGGGCAAGGCGCCGGCAAACATTTTGTATGAGGCGGCGGCGCAGCCGGGGGACCACAAAGTCAAGGGGACGACTGTGAACCAGATGGGAAGTGGGATTGGGGGCAGAGGCCCGGGGGTGTAGACCGCCAAGGCCTGTCACGGGGGGGGCACGGAATCGACGAGTGCTTTCCAAAGGGAATAGTGAAGATGCCGCCTCGGCCAGAGAGGATGTTGAAGATTGTGATGTATAAATGCGACCATCCGCAGTATACCCGACCACCCCGGGTGAAAATTCCACGACGGATCAACGTCGTGGCCCGTCCGTCTCTTCAATGGGCAACATGGCCAACGCGGCAATACAACACACCATGCCGCCCCGGCTCTCCTTGAGGGTGGCACTCCCCCGACCATCGGTCAACTTCGCCAAGCAGGCAGCACCGCGCCGCCTTGTCCTCCCGCTCACCGCCCGGCGCGGCATCCAGTACGGCTGGTCGACGGCACCACCGCGATCGCACCACCGGCGCTTCAACCAGCCCAATGCCGGGCTGCCCGCGCCGACGACGGGTCCCGCGGCGGCCCTGAAGCGCCGAGAAAACACGACGCCCCTCCGAACGGGCGTCCTCGCCACCAAGAAGGGCATGACCAGCATGTTCGTGGGCAGGACGCGCGTGCCCTGCACGGTCCTGCAGCTCGACCAGGTGCAGGTCGTGGCGAACAAGACGAGAGAGAAGCACGGGTACTGGGCGGTCCAGGTCGGCGCCGGGTCACGCCCGCCCAGGAACGTGACGAGCCCGATGCTGGGATACTACGAGGCAAAGGGCATGGCGCCCAAGAGCGAGCTGGCCGAGTTCGCGGTGCGCGGCCGGGACGGCCTCCTGCCCGTCGGGTCCCAGCTGCTGCCGGACTGGTTCCAGACCGGGCAGGACGTCGACGTGCGCGCCAAGTCGCGCGGCATGGGGTTCGCGGGCGGCATGAAGCGCCACGGGTTCGCGGGCCAGGAGGCGTCGCACGGCAACTCCAAGAACCACCGGACGATCGGCACGACGGGCCCCTCGCAGGGGAGCGGCAGCCGCGTCCTGCCGGGCAAGAAGATGCCCGGGCGGATGGGCAACGAGTGGGTGACGGTGCAGAACCTCAAGGTGATGCGGGTCGACAACGAGCTGGGCGTGGTCCTCGTCAGCGGTGCCGTGCCGGGTCCCAAGGGCCGCACGGTGAGGCTGCAGGACTCCAAGAAGCGCAGGGCCCCGGCGCTGCCGTACCGCCAGAGGGTCCTGAGGGAGATGCTGGACAGGCACCCCGACGGGGAGGCACGGCTGGAGGCCGCCCGACAGAGGCACTTGGAGATGAAGGAGCGGCGACGGGCGGAGAGTCAGTGAGTGCGGCCGAGGCCGAGTCGTACGACTTGTGCCTCTCCGCGGGGAGATGGATTGGGGGAGACGCTACGGCGTGCACACATGTATGATATAGACGGACAGACGTGAAGCCTCTCCGGGCACTGTACAGCAAGTGTCGGCGCAAATCGCAAATCGCAAATCGTGTTGCACGGGACGAAACGAGACGAGACGAAAACAAGGACGACGCTCCCAAACAAGGCGAGACTGCCTGCTCACTGTGTGCCTGCCCTCGTCGACTCGGTCCCGTCGGCCGGGGCCACTTCCACGTCTCCCCCCGCGACGAGGGGCGGCTCCTCACTTGTTGGATGCCCCCTGCTGTCGGAATCCCCTCGTGACGTGCAAGTCGTCTCCGTCTCCGTCTCCGGCTTCCTCGGCGGCGGCAGCAAGCCCGCCACCCCCCAGCAGAGCTCGGAACGGATCCCCCCCGTCCAGCAAGTCAACCCACTGCCCGTCGGGCGTGGTCAGGCTCCACTCGGTCGTTTCAAACAGCGACCTCGACGACGGGCGGTTGCTGGAGAAGCGCATCGTGGCCCAGCCCCGGGTCCCCTTGACGGCGAAGCGGATGTCGATGCGGCCCTGCATCTGGTTCATCCGGCCGCCGACCCAGGGGATCTGGTGCCTGAAGTAGATGTCGTCGCCGAGGATGGCGCGCGCGCGGGCGTTGGTGCGCAGGGCGTACAGCGTCGACGACACGATGGGCGACGACGTCCTTTGGTAGTTGAAGATGGAGACGGAGCAGGCGGCCACGACGGCGAGGAAGACGGGCAGCGTGCGGCCCCAGCGGAAGCGGACCTGGCTGATTGCTGAGCAGCCCCCCAGTCAGCATCTACGTGCGGCGAGGCGCGAGCGACGGGCAGGCGAGGGGGGGGGGGATGAGGAAGCCGTGTTTACCAGGGAGCTCGCGGTCTGCCCGGCGGGACATGAGAGGCCCGTCGCCGGGTTTCGGTGCGGGCGTCACCCATCGTCGCTGGGTGAGCTGGCTGTCGGCGGACGGGGAGGCGGCCGTCGTGGAGCGGCGCAGAGAGGCCATCAGCCTGCGCTGGACTGCTGTTTTTCTTTACCCAAGTTTTCCGCTCTCCCGTGCTCGACTCTCGGGTTGGACGCCTGCTGTGGCCTTTGCCCTTGATGTCTGGCCACAACGCTTGCTGTTGATATATAGTTTTTTTGCTCTTTTGCCAGGGTAAGAAAAAAAGCAAAAGGAACGACGACATGCCGAGACGATGCACGATAAAAGTGCTAATATGCTTGGCTGCTGTTTTTGGCGCGCGTGTAGGGTAGGCAGACGCACCCGCCCCAGCCATCACCAGATTCCTCCCGTTGACGGATCAAACAACGACGTGGGTGGACGGATCCGGATCCACGTCGCCACGGCCCAGATACCAGATACCAAGACATGAGAGCGAGAGACGCAGCCAAGGCGCTCCAAGTTCCAAGTGAAGACGCCCGAAGCAGACCGCACACGACATGTTGCCGCGGTTCGTTCAAGCAGCGAAACTCGGGGATCTGGCCCCGCTCCACAGGTCCAGCATCACGAGCCTGGCCGCTCATGGAAGATGAGATGATGAAGAACAAGGCTCGAATTGATGGGAAAAAAAAAAAGGCAACACTGCACATCCTTCTTCCAAACACACGGCATCGCCATCACCCCGGCGCATCAAGACCGGAGCACTTGATTGCCCTGGAAGAATTTGGAAAAAAAAAAAAAAAAGACCAAAAGATAGCAACACCTGGTGTCGATCCAGGGGCCTACGGGTTATGAGCCCGTCGCTCTTCCTCTGAGCTATGTTGCTCGTTGATGCCTCTGAACCGGCGCAGGTTGCCGACGACGCACGCAAATGCGGCACATAAAGGAGGGACAAGGGCCGGTCCCGGACGGAGCCCCCGTGAGTCATGGTCCGCGGACCGTGGACAAACATACCAGTCGGTCGGTGCCAACTTGTGCCTGCCGCGGTGCTGGTCCTGTCCGCGGAGCGTGTTTGTGGAGTCTTTGAAGCGGCAGGGACTGCATTGCACGGCATCAAAGCACGGAGCCAAGTTATACCCAACAATATGAGCGGCATCGGTTGTGCAAAGGACTCGGCGCCGCATGCACTCGCGTCGTTGCCGTCCCGAGCCGCCGTGTAATGTACTTGAGTAGGTACCTTGGTATCATCTATCATACAGTATTTTGCCCAGTGGCCTACTCCATCGCTCGCTGTGCCCACCCCCGTAATAAATAAAATAATGAAAAAAAAAAAAGAGAGAGAGAGAAGGGGATAGCATCAAGGCCCAGCGAAGAGTCGTCACGATGGTCTCCCTCTCCAAGTTGCGAGTACGTTGCCGAGCCCGAGACGGTGCAGCTGCTCGGAAAAACCCATGGCCGAGGGGAAGCACAGAAGAGGAAATGAACAACAATGGGCAACGACAAACGGACAACAACTTCACGCCACTTCTCACCCGAGCTCCCACGACTCGCCCCACAGCTCGTTCAGGTTGAGACCGAGCAGCTCCAGACTCGGATCCATGTTGAAGGGCTGTGCCGAGTCGCCCGCGCCAACCATCCACGCCGTCGCCGGGGCCGTGGTCGCGTCCACCGGCACGGCCGGCATGGAAGGCGGGAAGGCGAATGGCGTGACGGACTAGGGTTGCGGAAAACGTCAGCTCTCTGGCCGAGCGGACCCTCGTGTGCCGCGACTCACGAGCAGGTGTGAAGACGGACGGATGCGAGAGAGAGAGAGAGAGAGAGAGAGAGAGAGAAAAGGACGTACCTTGGGCCGCTCGGGCACCTCCAGGCCGGGGCTGGGACCCAGACCCAGACCGGGCGCGGACAGGGCCGTCGCGGCGCCGCTGACGGGCGTCCCCGGGACGTTCTCGGACGCCACGGGGGGTTCCTGGTTCGCCAGCAGGCGGTAGTGGAGGTTGACGAAGCGCTCCGCCGACGTCGACTTGGCCACCTCGGTCGTCTTGGTGCCCAGGTGCGCCTCGAGGAGGCCGAGGGCGGCGCACATGATGGAGTAGCCCCACGGCTCGTTGTTGCCGCACCGCAGCAGGCGGTCCTCCTTCATGGCGATGCACTTCTCCATCAGCTTGAGGGTGTGGTGCGAGTTGATCATGATCATGTTTGTCGACCCGCGCGGCTGCAGCATCGTCACGCTGCAGAGGTTGATGGCCGTCGTGAGCGCGTCCTCCCGCAGGAAGTTGAGGGACCGGACGCCCTGCTCGTGGAGCTTGTCGTGGAGCAGCACAATGTCGCGCGCCGCGTTGTAGTAGACAATCTCCGAGTACTGGTACCTGGAGTTTTGCCTGCGCAGCTTCAGGTACGGCTGGTGGAGCGGGATGATGTACTGGCGCAGCTGGACGTGGAGGAGAGTGTAGGCGATGAGGGGGTTCTTCTTCTCCCCGGCGCCCGCGTCCATGTCCCACGAGGGCAGCGCGTCAATCTCCTGCGTCAGGTCGTTGGTGTGCCGGATCACCTGGTCGTAGTCAATGTCCGCCAGGGGCCCCGTGAGCAGGCGGCTCAGCTCCAGCCGCAGCGGCAGGCTCTGCCGGGCCAGGTTCTGGAACGAGCTGAAGGTGTAGTCCCTGGCCGGCTTGGAGGGCGGCAGCGTGCTCGTCTCCTCGCCAAAGTCCTCGTCGTCGAGGTTCCGCGGCGCGTCCGTGTCGTAGTGCAGCTGGCTGAGCAGCGTGGGCAGGCCGTGGTCGAACGAGGCCTGCATGTCAAACTCCTGCACCGTCGTCCATATGCGCCGCCGCATCTCCTGGTTGTACACGCTGATCTTGCCGCCCATGTGGCTGGGCTCCCGGTGCAGGCCGACCGAGATGCCGTCCTGGACGAGGGCGCCCGAGCTGGTCCAGAACCTCTTCTTCTTGATCGTGTTGACGCGCTTCCCCAGGTACAGGAGGCAGGCGATCTGGAAGTGGATGAGCCTGCGGTGCTTCTGGCTCTGCCGCGACAGCCACCCGTCGCACGCCCAGATCCATCTCTCGGCCCAGTGGCGCGCGCTGGACATCATGCCGATGAACTTGAGGCTGCCGTGGGTGTGCACGCAGCCGGCCACCGCCATCATGGCCAGGATCAGGGCCGTAAAGGCCGCGCATCGCTGCCTGCTGCCGGGCCTCCAGAACTCGGCGTACTCCTTGCCAAAGGTGGGAATGTGCACGATGCGGTGGATCTGCTCGAACTGGTCCAGGTACACCGAGACCAGGGCGTCGGCCTCGTCCTTGGCCGGCAGCAGCGCCTCGAGCTCGGCGTCCTGCTTGGCGAAGAGGACCTCGCGATGCTCCATGCGACGCTTGCGGTCTTTGCGGTCGTGGACAATCACGGGCCTGAGCCACTCGTCCGCCGTCTCTCTCATGAACGGACACAGCCCCGTCAACTCCACAAAGGCCATGCTGGCATTGTGCGGTCCGAAGTAGCGAGTTCTGAAGCCCTTTCCGCGGAAGAATCGAAGCTCGCCCCTTTCGCCGCTCATGCTGCTGGCCTCGATGCATTCCTGCACGTCCGGCCGGTGCGCCGCCAAGGCGTCATTCTCCGTCAAGTTTTCGTCCTTCCTGGTCGCCGGCGAGTCTGTGGCGGCAACGGTGCTGCCGTCAAACGAGCCGATCCCGGCCCCGGTCCCGGTTCCGGCCGCGGCTCCGACTCCGACTCCGGCCCCGGTTCCAGTTCCAGTCCCAGTTCCAGCGCCGTTTCCGGTTCCGCCGGGTCTCGTGAGTTGATTTTTGAGTTGGGCAATTTCCAGCTCCAGCCTCCGAATCCTCTCGTGGTCGTCTCTGGACGAGAAGCCCGACGTCCCGTCACCGCCGCCGATTCCAAAGCGGCGAGGATCAAGCTGGGCAAAGGGAGGCGGAACGCCCGAGGAGGCACTGACCACCTCACCGTTCCGGGACTCGTAGCTGCAGCGGTCCGGGGTGCCACTCTTGATGCACCGCTCACACGGGAAGCCTCTGTCGCATGAGAGCTTGCGCCGGCGGCACTCGAGACAGCTCAGGCGGACGCGCTGTCGCTTGCGCGCCGGCGGTTGGTCGCCATCGCCGTTGGTGCGCGAGCCCGCGTCGGATTCCGGCGTCTCGCTTCTCCCGGCCATGGTTTGTGCGCTGGACTCACAGAAGCGTGTCGGAGTTACGACGTCTGAACCAGCCGTGCAGCGAGGGCTTAATAAATGGAACGCGGAGGGGGGGGTCCTTTGGGCTGGCGAGGGCAAATCTTTATCAATCTGATCTGATAAAGCTTGGTGCAGAATTTTGCCCCGGCGCCCGTTTGGGGAAAACGCCGGGCGGAAATACGAGACGGCGGCTGACTCAGCGCCTCAAGACGCCTCGGACTTCCGAGGCCAGTCCGCTCGAGCTAATCAAAGGCCGCCGTTGTTGGGCCGTTGAGCGGATACGCGTGCGTCCGTCCAACTTGCAAGGGCGACTTGGCAGAACAATTTAAACCAAAAAAAAAAAAAAAAAGAAGACGGACCTTTCGCTTTAAATATCTAGACGTGGTGTTGGACCTCGTCGTGGCCGAAAACTCGGTGTGTACGGTCGACAATGTTGCCCACGACAGGAACGGCGTGGAAATGGAAATGGACATGGAAATGGAATTCATGCATGTTGAGATCAAGACGCGCCCAAGTATGAATTATACGCCACTCCGTTCTCTCCTCCTCCCCCTCCGTCCGTTTCTTTCTTTCTTTGGTTTCCGTTCCTTGTTCTTGCAGTTCTCAAGCATCAGAAACGGATGAGGAGAGGTCCTTTCCCAGCCACCAAGCTGCCAAGTGTCTTCTTCCCTCCCCCCATGCCAACCTGTTGAGCCGGCCCTCGGTGAAGTGAAATCTGTGCCTGCTGACCTCCCTGGAACCCAGGCGTTGACTCATAAACTTGCGCATCTTTCGGGGATTCCACACGGTAAATATGGCCGATTGGAAGACGTAAAGTGTCGAGGGTCCGGACATCGGACAGAATGACCAAGGCCAGACGCCCATCACGCCCTGGCACCCGGCGGTCCACTGGTTACTCGGTACGGAGTAGGTGCCAGTAGTCAGCAGTATAAGTAGGAGAGACCCCGGTCACTGATTGATAGGAATCGGCATCGCGTCCCCGAAAGCGTAACACCCCCGTCCTAGAAGTCCATGTTCCATGCTCTGGTTGGCCTGCCGAAAATGGTCTCATATCGGCGCCGGCAAGAGCCATTTCTCGCTTGTACATGGGGGCAGGGTGGAGATGATGGTCAAGGAGTGACTGATTGATAAGGAATGCATCCACACCAACGTCATGTACCGTGTGCGTCTCGAGCCCATGGCAGCGGCTGTGCCAAGAGGCCAACAGAGTGGGACGGGGCACTTGTTTTTGATATAATTACCGGGCCCAGCTCAAGCACTTTTGTCACACCAAAAAAGGATGTGGCCACACCACACCATTTTGTGTGGTATGCCACCTTTTGATCTCGGCCCGGGCCTGACGGCCCTCTGATGCTCGTCACGGCGTCAAGTCGTCGCAAATTTTCTCGCGTGCAAAATGTTCATGGCGTGAGTTTGCAGCCCCTTGGTTTTGGCCATGGCAGTGTGCCTGGAAGAAGAAGAGACCCGGTAAACAGAGAATAGACGAGGAATAGTAATTCCCAAAACCTGCCAGTTGACGCCTAAATACCCTACACAGAGTCTTGCATGCATTGTGCTCTAACGAATCAATATTGTAAAGCTGCAGCAGTGTTCGACATGGGTACCGTTCCTTGTCTAAAGAGAAGACGGGCCCAACTTGAAGAGCGAGCTCGCCGCTTCTGCATCTCCATCAGATGAAGCCGTTTGAGCCCGACTATTTGAAGGTACCGCTCTACTCGTCTTGTAGATGGAGGCCGTACTGGTCTGAAGAAGCTACACAACAACGGGTTTTGTGGCTAGCTACCGTCTCAATTTCGGTAGGAACAGCGGATACCAGGTGAATGGAGGCGCGAGTTGCGGATGCCACTATTTCGAGCGAGAAATTTCCACGCTTCTGTTCTGGAGTGAAACCGGCGACATGGTTGTTGACTTTGGTCGCACGAGTACATGAGTATTAGTACTATGAAATAGCGTCGTCAAAAGCCCCCGGCGTTGTTCTACCTGTTTCGGGAAAACTGCTTACCGTAGAACCGTTCAGCGCGCTTTTGGTCCTGAAAGATATGCTAATGCACATGGCAAACTCATCCTCGGTTCGGCAGACGCTGCCCCGGCCGCGATTTCGCCAGAGGCCGGCTGGACTGAATATCTGTGTGTGGCGGTAGCAAGTTCACCATGTCGAAAAAGAGAAGTACGATCAGTTGTGAAGCCATCCGAATCGACGAGACATGTGACAACACCTCCTCCTCGCCATACCACGACGAACAGCGTTGGTCTTCTCGACATCGGCCGTCTTCCGTTGAAGCACATCTACGGGTCGAGGCTTCGAACGCCGCCGTGGCTAGATAGGCCTTGCGCCAAGTCATGTAGAGCACTTGACTCAACTCGAAGATTAGTACAGGATGTAATATGGTACAGCCGTGGATACTCACCTTTTCCGCGCAACCCTCCCACATATAAAAAACCAAAGAGGCGCACCGGTAATCACTACACCGCGCGATGCATCGTGCCATCTCCGAGACATTGATAGGGGGTCCCGTGCCCCTCTCGCTCTTTCAAGCGCCATCGAAGCATATCATGAGACATTTGCGGGCATTCGAAATGGCCGGCTGCTCATTAGTCGTACTTGGGCAAGACTGTGCCTCGGGTGTCCCGACTCGCGACTGCCGAGCATCAATCATGCGTTCGTTGCAGGAGAAAGTTATCTAGGCCGCGAAAAAGGTGAGAGAAGGATGGGAAGGTCAAAAAATTCGCCCGGCATTCAATCGCCCGGAGGAGATGGCGCCACAGTATGTTGAACATGGTCATTGCAATCCGCCGAGTGGAGAAGGCGGCGGCTGGCTTCAACATTGTCGTTGCTGGTGCACGTACAATGACGTCAACCTGCAGCCGCAGGCGCCAATGCATCTGGCCATCCGTCGTTGCCCATGTCGAGGAGTTGGTCTTGCGGACAGGCAAGGTCCAGAGTCTGCCGTCCAAGGTGGTGACAGAGTCACTGGTGACATTGGGAAACGCGCCAGAGGCGGGGAGGAGCATAAAAACATGCCGTTGGCCTTGTTGAAGTATTTAGTCACTACCAAGTACCTGCGTAGTGTGCAAGTTTCTGCTTTTGCCCAAGTACTCAAGTACATGACTGACCCGCGTCGCGTGACGCGACTGTGACCGTCGTAAATATGATAGCATGTCGGTGGGTCCTGCGGTCCGGTTCTGGTTCAATCAGCTGGACAGGCTCGACCCCGCCTCGATTCTAGATGTGTGCATCAATGGGAGTTGTGCCATTTGTGCATTGACCCTCCAGAGTCTAGACGTGCTTGACTCCTTCTCTCCGGCCTTTATATTGCATCTCGTCGTTGACGGCGGAGCCTCAAACCACCTCGCGCAGCCGCACCCCCCCGAGAATAATTACCCTTCGGCAGAGTAGACAACGATTGGCCTTGTCCTCTGCGTGTGTTCTTTTTTCTTTGATTCTTGACCCGGGACCTGCATCCAACTCCCCTCGCCGAGCTCGCACTTCCTTCGCTTTGGCCCCTGACGAAGGGAAAAAAAAAAAAAAACACCAGACGCCCGCCGCAAACATTATCGCCAGCCACCACGACCATGAGAGTGCAGGTCTCTGTCCGCCCTGCCCCCACGCCCATCCCTCGCTGAAGCCAAGAGTGACAATGCGATAAGGGAAATCAAACCACCTCATCGCTGCGCCGAGGCCTGCATTCATCACGCCGCGTCGTCGGCCTCGGCGTCGTCGTCGTCGTCGTTTGTCGCGCCTCGCTCGTCTCGCCCGCTTCCACCCTTGATTAGTAACAAATATTTGTTATTATTCTTGCTTATTCTGTTTTTGCGGCTCGCCGTCGGAAAAAACCAGAGAATCCCGCCATCCTTCTTTTGCTCCCTCGCGATAGCAACACCATAACATCATTTCGCCAAGGCCCTTCACCCCCAGACAAAGAGACAACAACAAAGCGCCCTCACACTCACGGCGTGCGCACCAGGAATGTCGTCCCTCGAGGCCAAGATTGTGGTCCTCGGCGCCCAGGGCGTGGGCAAGACCTCCCTCGTCATGCGTTACTGCAAGGGCGCCTTCAACCCTTCGCAGATCACGTCCACCGTTGGCGCGAGCTTTCTAACCAAGCGCGTAATCGACTCCGACTACGACACCATGGTGCGCCTTCAAATCTGGGACACAGGTCCGTGACTCTTTGCCCCCCCCCCCGTCCTTTGCTCTGTTGTCCCCCGTGGCGCTGCGGCCGCGACTCTATCCCGCCGTCCGTCTTGCTTCCTTTCGCAAGTTGCTGACGCCCCAAAACAGCCGGTCAGGAAAGATTCCGGTCCATCTCGCGTCTGTACTATCGCGGCGCCAACGCCTGCATCCTGTGCTACAGCATCACCGACGCGCAGTCCTTTGCTGAAATGGGCGTCTGGCTCACCGAGCTGCGCCGCAACCTGCCGAGCGACGTCGTTCTGCACGTCGTAGGAACCAAGGCTGACATCGTGGCCCGTGACCCCTCGACCCGGCAGGTCCCCTTTGAGCGCTGCATCGCCTACGTTGCAGAAAATCTAGCTCCTGGACTGGGCAGCACGCCGCCGCCGACGGCCACGCCGCTCAACGGGCCCGGCTCCATGCCAAGCGTGGAACCGCGCAGTCCAAGCTCAAAGCGGAGCTCGGGATTCTGGGCCCAGGAAGTTGGCTGGGACGCGTGCCACGAAATCAGCGCCGAGAGCGGGGAAGGTGTCGAGGAGGTCTTCCGGGTTGTCGCCAGAAAGCTGGTTGAGCAGAATCGCAAGATGCAGCAGGCCCTTTTGCTGGCCACGGCCACACCAGGCACTCCTGGCTACGAGGCCGGCATGGATGGCGGCTACTTCGACGGTTTGAATGCGAGGGGCAGTTTTCGTCTAGGCCGCGACAGGCGGAGCTGGTTGTTTTCTCCCGGTTTCTCCCCAGCTGTGACGGTTGACCGAACGGGCGCGACGGCGCAGGAGCAGCACGAGCCCGATGAGGCGTCAAAGGGTCGGCGTTCATGTTGTTAAAGTCACGACGATGACGTCGTAATGTGGACAGTGGACGCGGCCGTGTTGAACCAAGGCGATTGTTTACTTGGATAAAGGCCGAAAGGGGAGGGGAGGGGAGGAAAGGGAATGAATATGCAGGAATGGAACCAAGTATTCGGACTGGGCCTGGAGGGAACCGCTAGATACCCCCTTTCTTTCTTCCCCTTTGAGTCATGTATGGTCTTGGGCTCTTCATTCGAACTCAGGTGATGCCCTCTTGATGAGACTTCTTCCTCTTTTTTTGTTTTTTTCTCTGGTTTTCCTGTTTTGCTGTTCTAGGTTTTTCGGCGGCTACTTTGATTCGCGCCTCGCTCTGCGCTTTGCCTTGGTGTTTGTTCGTCTCCCTTGCCTTTCCTGTCAAACCTCTGGCGCGGTTATTTCATGTTGCATGGCCACCTCGTGCCGTGATCTCCTTCATGCATGGCGTTGGATGAATACTCTGATTTTCGATATTTCCCGTGTGGACCACGTCTATTCATTAACGTCTGTCAAATTTGGCATGCGTTTTTTTGTTCGATAAAATACGAGCTGGAGGGCTCAAATCGCAAGAACTTTGGCCATTTCATCAAACCATCAAGCGCATGGTTTGTTACATCTGTGTCAAAATGTGACATTTGTTGCCAACTCAGACCAGTCGGTGCACCGTTGGTAGATAAAAATCCCCTAGTAGCGAATTTACGCCCTATCCCTTCTTCCAATCAACATCATCATCCACCGTGGGCAAGCCTGGAATATCCAGCCCCTCGATTTTATACTCCAAGCCCATATACCCATCACTCACAACCAATATGTCCACCTTCCTGGCCTGTCCGCCGACCGTTTCCGGCAACTTAATCAACCTTCTCAATGAAGGTGTACTGCCTGGTCCCAAAGACTTTCCTGCCGGCGCGGCCCACGTTGCTCTCTTCACGGCAATGATCTCATCCCTGACCATGTCTACGACAAGGATGAACCAGCCTTCTGTCTGAGCTTTGGGGAATCTGGGAGCATATATTCGAGCTTCTTTGTCGGCCAGGGCGTTGATGCGTTTGATATTCACCGTCACAGACAGAGACGTGACGTCTGATGTCGAAATAGACACATTAGGGAGGAGGGACACTGCGCGAGCCAGACGGGAGACTTCTTGTGGGGACTCAAGTCCGAGCCCTTTTGCCAGCTGATGAACTTCGCTCGATTTGAGAACGCTGAGTTTGCTGAGCGGCGTATTGTTCTTGGTGGACTCGGGTTCAACACCAGGAAGGATAGACACGACAGGGTCCGTGGGCCAGCGGGCGCATTTGATGCATTGTAGGAGGCTGATCATTTGCAAACAGGATGACAAGTAGCCCAGTTCGGCGAGGACATCGATAGATGCCTGGATAATACGAATAGCTTGATCAAGGACAGATGTCTGGTCGCCCACGTAATCCGTGATGGGCAGTTCAATTCTCGACATGTGCGCTTGAAGTAGCAGGAAGGCTTTGACATGTGGATCCCACATGGGCAGACCAAAAGTGTGCCCAGAATACGGCAAATTTGAGGAAAGTGTGTCGTTAATGAGATCTTCGTTATGGCGAACGGGTAACTCGTCGTATTCGATGGCGCGGGACATCCACGACAGGACATCGAGGAACGAAGCCTGCGCTTTTGCATGCTTCACAAGGTGCCTGATTGTTCTGTGGGAAAGATAATAGTAACTCATAATCTTTCCGAGAGGTGTGGGATCTATGTCTCCGTTAGGAAATAACTCGACACACTTGGACTCGGCAAGTTCCCCGAGAGATGTGTTGACCATTTCGATCATATATTCGTTGGCGAGTTGCTGTGCAGCAATAGTCGAGTGTTCCTCAGCAGAGAGCTCCAGCCCATAGTATGATGGGTTTTTGTGTAGTCGACGAAAGAAGAATGTCCAGGTTAGGTAATCTAGAGCATCCTGTTTTGTGACAATGGTCTCGGCAGAAACTTCAGCACAAAGATGGTTGTCAAGCACAGTGTGCAGCAAAGATTCAACAGGAAACCCAGTGTGGAGGAAATGCTTGTAAAAGTCTTTTTTAGAGTCTTGGGTGAATATTCTCGCGACACCAGAGTTGTCGAATTGAGGGCGGCCCGCTCGACCGAGCATCTGCAGAACGTCTGTGAGGTCCATATCCTTGTATGCTTCTATTTTAGCGTCGTAGAACTGAGTGCCCTTCACGACGACCAAGTGGGCAGGCAAGTTGACGCCCCAAGCCAAAGTGCTAGTTGCTACGAGTATTTGGATTTTGTTGTTGAGGAAAAGCTCTTCAGAGAGTTGGCGATCCGACTCGACCAGGCCGGCGTGATGGAGACCGATGCCGAAATTGATGGCCTCCTTGAGGGCATCGTCTTTAACACGGGCGAGGTTCAGCTGCAGGTCTTCTTCATCCATGCGTAAGAACCGTCGGGGATTGTCTTCCATGCCACAAAAATTGATCAGGTCCTTGGCTGTGAGACGCGTTTGTCGTCGAGAAGCAACAAAAACAATGGCTGGCTTGTCTGGACTGTGATTTTTTATGGCTCGGAACGTCGGGCGGTTCATCGACTGCATCAAAGGGCAGAAACCACGGATTTCGGGAAAACCATCGATGTATAACTCAAGTGGTACAGGGCGAACGGAGTGCTTAAAGTTGAACAGCCCTTCTTTGACACCCAGCCAGCTACCCAGATCGGTAGCGTTGGCACAGGCTGTCGACATTCCGAGGAGTCTGACTTTGTTCTTTGTCGACGATGAAATGTAGTTCATGCCTAGTCAACATCAACAAGGGCGGCCATATACAGGGCCAGAAATGTGGGTTCTAGTACTTACGTGATACAATGATCTCCAGAATAGGGCCGCGGTCGCCAGCGAGCAAGTGTATCTCGTCGATGATGACCAAGGAAACCTGTCTGACGTATCCCCTTGTTTGCCAAGAGCGCGAGATACCGTCCCATTTCTCAGGGGTGGTAACGATGATATCCGCATCCTTGATGGTCCTTGTATCTGGAGTATTATCACCAGTCAACTCGACAATCTTAAGTCCCAATGGTCGAGCAAGTCTCTTTCCCCAGTCCTTGACTCGTTCACGAACCAGCGCTTTCATTGGGGCAATATACACCACTTTAGATTTGGGTCTTTCCCGGAAAGCCCACCACATGGCCAGCTCTGCTGCCACAGTCTTGCCACTTCCTGTTGGAGACCCGAGGAGAACGTTGGCTGGTGTATGATACAGGGTGTGGAAAATCTGTGTCTGCATAGGATTAAAGAATTGAAAACGCTGCGCGTAAATCTCTTCCAAGCCGGGGTTCTTCAGGGCCGAGATAGGAAGCGGCTGTAAGTTAAGAAGATCAGTGTAAACACTTTCGGTGTCCGGCCTGATGAGGTGCTGAAAAGACACTGGGGTGACTGTCTCTGCACCAAGCCATCTATCAGATACGGCTCGAACGTAAATTTGCGTTGGAAGGGGATCCGATAAAGGAATTGTGAAATTAAGTTCGTGGTCGTCATGAAGCTTTCTCCTGTTCAGAATAAAGAATTCGTGATGATAAATCTCTGAAGTTTCAGAGTTCTCAACCCAGATGTAGAACGATTCGGATGTTCCATGTATCTGGTCCTTCCACGAGAAATCGGGGATAACGTACAACTTTATCCGAAGTACATCCCGGTTCAGTGGTGCAATTTCAGCTTCTACATGAACCGTCGGAAAATGGCTCAGAAGTCGGGAAATAGTCTTTCCAGCGCTGTGATTATGTACCAAGCCTCCGATCTCAGCAGGGTCCATTTCCTTCATTTTCTCCATGGTCAGGTTTTCCTTCGTATCAAGCTGGTTCAAGACGGGCTTGGGTAAATCAAATTGATGAAGTGGATGCTGAAAGGGCCAAATTCTCTTCTCAATAGACTTTGACAAAGTCAGCAGGACTAGACATTGGTGACCCCATCTCCTATTAAGCGCTAGCATGAACAAGGCTCGGCAGATACGGCCAGACTGCTGGGCAACATAATTCATGTCATTGGATAGTGCAAAATCGTCAGGCTGTTGTCTAGAGATGTATGATTGCAACAGAATGTTGGTCTTGGATTGCGGTGTGTCAATGCCGCCGTCGACATCGCAAGGCACAACATCATTCTTCAGATGCGCCAGTTCCTTGGCTTCAGTATCTCTCGACTGGACATTATCGAACTCTCCACTCATACTAATCATCTTGAGGACATCGGCCTCAGTGGCTTGCGGCTGCATCATAGTGTTGAAAACCTGAATACTCGTATGAAGGATGTAATACTGACTAGCAATTCGACCGATGTCTTTGCTGTGAAGCTCCTCAGTCCGCTCGTTAAAAATAATCATCTGACACTGCTGCAGAGTTCTGGCGGCTTGGATGGCTAGTTGGCGCCGTCTCTGCACGAGAGTTGGATCATCACGAATTTCGGCCCACTCAATACCGTATGCGGTTGGACTTCTCTGCATTCGAACAAATAGATATGAGTATCCTATCCATTGGACCGCATCCTGGATAGAAGTCACTGTTCCCAGGGCAATTTCAGCATTGAGGTTATCAACAAGTTTGGTGGAAAACTTGGACTCGATCGGCTGCTGCTCAGTGATAGCAGTCAAGTAATGTTGAAGCTTGTCTTGAGTAGTACAGATCATACCGATGCCAGTATCTTCGAACTGCGGCCGTCCAGCTCGACCGAATATTTGCAGCACATCCAGGATTCCGAGATCAACAAATTTACCATCCTGGGCGCTGTAGACCTGTGTACCTTTGATGACCACAGCGGCAGCGGGTAAGTTCACACCCCAGGCTAATGTAGCAGTGCAGCAAAGCACTTTCAGAACACCTTCTCCAAAGAGTCGCTCCATCAGATTCCTGTCAGCCCTAGCCATACCAGCATGATGGATTCCGATTCCTTTAGAGAGAAGGTCGCGAATGTCCTTGGCCCGGGATGACTTTATATCGCGGGAGGCTTGGTCGTATTTGGGATGTCCGCTAGGATCAAAAAGGTCCATGCAAAACTGCTCGATTGCCTTTTGGTGAAGCATCCTTGCAGTAACCATAGTATCTCGCCGCGAATGCACGAAAACCATTACTTGGTGGTCTCTCTCCAGCATCTGCTTGACTTTGTCAAAGGCAACATTGTCCAAGTTCTCTTTGGATTGCTTTGACCCCGCTTTGCCCTTGACAGCGATAAAATGCTGCTCAAGCGGGACAGGGCGAAACGAAGCATCAAAGTAGAACAGGCCTGCGTACTTGTTGACCTTCAAAAAGTCGGCCACATCAACGTAGTTGGGGAGCGTAGCACTAAGGCCGATGACTCGAATAAGAGACTGTGTGCTCTCAACCTGGCGTTCAGTTCGGGCGACAAGGGATTCTAGAACCGCGCCACGTTCATCATGCAACATGTGAACTTCATCGATGATTAGAAGACGCACTTTCTGAACCAGCTCTGTATCTCCAGTACCCTTTCTCGTAATGACATCCCACTTTTCTGGGGTAGTAACAATGATTTGAGTTTGAACAATTTCTGATTTGGTGAGTTGCATATCACCAGTGTACTCGCGGCACTTGATACCTAACCAGGCAAGACGCTTGCCCAGCTTTTCAGTGACCTCAGCGGCCAAGGCTTTCATGGGAGCCACGTAGACTATTTTGAAGTTGTCAATGTCAACGGTGAACTCGGTCGTTTCGGGGTTCTCGCTAGGATTGGGGTAGGCATGCTGGCCAATAGTGTGCAAAATTGTCAACATGGCCGCATCGGTTTTGCCCTATAGCCATTGTTAAAGGTGGTTTAAATTATGATGTAGAAATGGCTTTAAGATGGTCGTTGACTTACGGCACCAGTGGGGGCACAGATAAGCATGTTCTCGTTTGTCTTATATCCGACGGGGAACACGAGGCTCTGCATACGGTTGAGATTCTTGTAGCCCTTGAAAGTGATCCGGCACAAGCCATCAAGATCCGATATAGCTACCAGCTTCTCTCCAGGACCGAGTGTACCTTTGCGGCCTGCTGGAACAAAGTACTCTTCATATTTTTCAAACTGGCGACGTTCGCTGCCGACAGGCAGGCCATACTTTTTGCCGGAAAAGCTCAGCGTATTCCCGGCCTGGTACGATCTGTATACATGTGGATACTGTGGTTCCTTCTTGGATGCAGGAGATAGCGAAGAAGTTTTGTGTTCAAAGTCCTGGCGTATCAGAGCAGCCTGTCTCTCAGACTTGTTCAACAATCGAGGTGCAGTAGGATGTCTCTCGACTTGGCCTTTCGTCTCAGCCACAAGAACATCCCTTCTGGACAATAAATCAATGACAAAATCGAGATGACCGAGCCCAACCAGATCGGTAAGGTGCGATTGAAGCTCATAATCAGGCTCAGCAGAACCCAGAAGGCTTAAAATCTGGCTTTGGAAGACATCCGGAGAGAGGTTGTTCTCGGCGGCAATCCCAGCTGACGTGTCAAAGAACCGATCCACGGTCTTTCCCGCCTCTGCATCGCCGACTCCGTCAACTTCAACAAAGTCGCTGCTATAGTCATCGTATTCGGTGTCCGAAATAAAGTCCCACACGTCCCGACCATCGCCCCCCAGGGAGAATCCTTCAAGGTCGTCATCGTCTTCGGCATAACCGTCCTCAGCTTTGGAGACGGTGGGAAGGTTGAGATTGGCGATTGCCGCTTGCATCGCTGCAAACTGTTCTCTCCATTCTGCTTCAGCGGTTATCAAGTCCGTAGACGCCATATTGCGAAATGTGCAAATCTGAAGAGGGTGCCGTTGTGGGTAAAATAAAAGTACGGAAGCACAACGCCCGACAGACGGGATGAGTAAAGAGCAGTTAGCTCCAAGAAGAAAGAGAGCGAGACTGCTGAATTTGAAGTCCCGACTGTCTCTCTATTCTGTACAATAGAATCAAGCATCATGATGCTCCAGAAGAACAGTTGAGTCACGCCGTCGGCCGGACCTATGAAGTTGCTGACTTGCAACATGCAAGGAAGGTGCTCCTGCCGCCCCAGCTCAAGGACCTCGTCAGTTAACACCGTGCCATTGTCGAACTCGCACTTCTGTCCACAGAAAGCGGGGCATGTGACACCGACGGTCGTCGATCTCAAGTGCCAGCGGCTCCAGGTCTCAGGAATGCCGGAACTCGGCGCTTTAAACGCTGAAAGACCCGACGGTGACCGCCTAGTCCTGGCCAGCTAACCAACTAACCAGTCAACACCATCTCTCAACTTAACTACCTCCTGTCTCTCTCCTGGCCTCGCATCATCTCCACGCCGCCGTGAGCCCCCCGCGTCTCGCTGCTCCTCTGCCGTCCATTCTCACCCATCCAACTTGTCGACTCGAAACCCAAACCTGAACTCCAGCCGTCGCTATGAAGCTGTCCTACATTGGCGTAAGGCTATTGTCACATGTCGCCCGACATTCCGCCGGCGCAAATACTCACGACGTCTACAGATCATCAGCTACGACACTAGGGAAGGCATAGATCCCAAGAACAAGGAACCCTCACACGAACTTGCTGTCGTCAAAGACGTCAGCTCGTATGGTTTGCTGACCAGAAACAAGTTTGTTCTCCCCTTCCCTGCGTCCACGTCCCACGAAACCGTCCACGGAACCGACATCTTCTGACCAGCCCTTCCTCAGCTATGCCCAATTCATGACCTTCTTCGCCAAGCAGTTAGCAGAAAAGGCAAAGCCTAACCAGCGGCAAGACGTTGCGCAAGATGCTCAAGGTAGGGACCAACGCGCAAAGCCACTACATTGACCGCCAGTCACAAGACCTTTGCGCTTACTCGATACAAGATTTTGTCTTCCACATCTATGCCCACAAATTAGGCGTCTGCGGCGTCGCCATCTCCGATGCCCAGTACCCTTCACTTGCTGCCCACAAACTTCTCGGCAACGTCGTCAACGAGTTTCTCGCAAAGTTCCCCTCTAGCTCATGGAAGGACCTCACTGCGTCCAGCCCTCGGGCAGAGGTCAAGAATCAGCTCGCTCAGTACCAGAAGGAGCTCCAGCAACAGCTCGCGCAATACCAGGATCCTGCGCAGATAGATACAATCGGACAGATTCAGAGGGAGCTGGACGACACCAAACAGGTCCTGCACCAAACCATCGAAAGTGTGTTGGGAAGACAAGAAAAACTAGATGAATTGGTGAATAAGAGCAATGACTTGTCCGATATGAGCAAGGGTTTTTACAGTACGTGTCATCCTGCGCTGCGCATGAATTTCGGAATGCTAACTCAGGGGACTTAGAGCAAGCCAGAAACACAAACAGATGCTGTGTGGTGATGTAAGAGGGCGACAAGAAATCCAGGCAGCTTGCTCGGCCTGCAATTTCTGTTCCGTAACCAACTGGTGGGCTTGTTGGTTGGCGCATTGGCAGACTCGCGTTTATATACACTCGAATTATGATCTTTCGTTCAACAAGCCGCTGCTATGTCTTTTATCGGGGGTCCATCGGTGTTTCCTATGGCATGGCAGTAGTCGGGATTAGAAGTCATGCAGGACCACCCCCAGGAGGTCAGCACGTGTACAGCTGTTCCAAATCTTAGGACGGGACATGACACAAACTAATAAAGTCTTCATGCTGGAGTTAAACCGTTTTCTCCCTGTTTTCACACGCCTATGCGTTAAATCGTCTGAAAGGCTATTGCTAGTAGAGACTAATCCCGAATGTACTGCTCAGCTAACCTTTTGCAGAGTCCAGTATAGAAAATATTCCCGACTATATCAGAAGCCAAATGCAGTGTACATACATATATATATATATACATATCCCAAGCCCCTCAAACAAAGAAAAACGCGTCCACCATTTACAACAGACTGAAACCGAATACAGAAAATGAAGACTGTTGAGCGAAGGTTGCATGAACTAGCCTTAGATCAAGACACGTCATGATCAAATCGATTCCATGAATGGCTCCCTGTAATGATTCCTTGACTTTAAATCCTTCACTTGAATGGCTCTTCGGCGCCAGCCGTCTGATATCCCCCGAGGATGACAACGATTATTTTCGAGCCGAGTACTGGTCACCCCTCTAATAGAACCGCCCATGCCAGCTTCCAAAACGGCAGGTCATAGTCCTCATACGCTCTCCAGCACCACCCACTCGCTTTTCCTACACCCTGCGGAGGGAGATGACGGATCTACCCTTGGATCAACCAATCGCGGTGTAGAGCTCTTCGTCTCAGCTATTCGCTTTCCTTCTGTTGGGTGCATTTGTAGCGGGCCTAGCATTCGGCGCTGTTCGCGAGATACGCTGATTTGACGAGCGATAGATATCTTGACGGCGTCCTGCACCGCTTTGTCTTCATCCTCGTCTAGCTCTTCCCCCAAGGGACTACTCGGGCTTGGGCTGCCCTGGAAAGCAGGTGTGGAAGGTATGGGTGCCGTGGTGGCTTGTTGTAGTGTTGGAGGGCATTTCTTTGACTGCGATGAGTTGACTATTCTTTGAGAGTGGCCCCTGGCCGGCGGAGGGGATAGTCCACCTTCTTCAAGATATTCATCCGACAGATCAAAGCTGCTGTTAGTCGGTGACTTGGATCCTGAATGTTTGTGCGTCGGTGACCGTATGTGGAACCTGGATCGGAGATGTGGTCTGTGACCTTGCTGGGAGATCCCGCTGCCGATACTAGCTTCTCTTCCCTTAAGGGATGCTAGTCTCACTATATGTGATGACTTTCCTTGTTCTCCATCGCGGGCATGTGAATCCGTAAACGTCTCCTTCGAAGGTGTGTACATAATGCCAGCGGATGTATTCGACCGATGGTGGAACTTTGGCCGGTTTTTCCGAGTTGCTTGTAGCGGCTCGAGTCTCAATGAAGGAATCGGTGGCAAGTCTCGGTCCACGCTTTGTTTACGTCGTGTGCGCGAGACTGCGCTCCGGTGGCCAGGGCCAGCAGCCTCTTCGCGAAGTGCGCGTATCTTATCCTGTGTGACTTGTCGACGGGCGAGGAGAGATGTCGCACTGCGGCGTTCAAGAAGACTAGCAAACATGACACTATATCTATCCAGGGTGATGTTTGGTATTTCAACGTCAAGAAAGGGCTCCCCGCTAAAAGTATTGATGTTTTTACGTATAGGTTCTCGTTGTCGAGGACGCGTGCCGTCCGTAGCGGTTTGTGTTTTGGCCGGAGGTGAAACGACTTGGGGATACCATGTCGGTTCAGAAGCCATAGGTTCCGTAAATGATCTTCCGAGGGCCTTTGGCTTTGGTGATGGATTGGCTTCCCGAAAGTCAGTATGTCCCGGTCCACGAAACCCCGCTGATGTTGGCGTTCCGCGGGTCGGTGTTTCGCTGGGGGTGGTAACTTGATCTGGAGAATCCATGGCCCTATCACTATTCTTGACTCTTTTCGACCTGGATCTTCCAAAAATACTCCATTTACGAGACTTGGATCGAGAAAGCCCATCCTTTGTTTGTTGTTCGTCTTGGCTACCTCCCTTGCCGGCCGTAACAGTGGTTGTCACTTGAGGTTGCCATCTAGTCCCACAGGAGCCACGTTCAGGAGAGGGACTACCAAGTGCCATTCCTATAGGTATAATGCCTGTTGCATCTGCTTCGCTTACGTCAAGTCCTCGAAGACCAGTCACGGCTGAAAATTTCTTGTCTGGAGGCGATCTTGACAGAAACGTTCCTCTGCGCATTGGTCGGCGGTACTGCTGAAGGCCAACAGACGCAATGTTCTCTGCATCTGTCAGGTGAGTTTGTTTCGATATATCTGGGATGATTATGGTCTCGATGGCCGCGGGTCCTCTTCGATGATTCAATGACGACGACCGAGACATGGACGTGGCGCGTCGAAGACGATCCATCTATGCATATAGTTGGCAGTGTGAGCAGGGCCTCGTCTTCCAAAGGTATTCCATGCCACATTGAAGGATGCAAGGGAGCCACAAAGCACTGGAGGTGGCTCAGGGCAGCCTTCGCGCAGCTCAGTCTTGTTCTCCAAGAGTCCTGGTTGGGTGGTGCATCAGACACACTCAGGAACCACGCAATGTGGGCAAGCTGGCCGCTCTTTTTATAAATGACTTGTGCGTTTGAGCGCTACCTGCTGCCCTCCTGGCTGGTATAAAACACCTTGGCTGGCCGGAATTCGTTATGCGGACAAGGCAGGGCCGTTGGCGCTGTGTTGCACCACGTAGGTTGGATCGAAGATTATGATGAGGCTTGAACCGTGGCGGGCTGGAGAAACAAGCGGCAAGCAAGCAGGAAACCATGAGTGCCTGATAAGAAGACAAACAAAACCGCGAGATGGAATGGGGATTACAGAGGACTTTGGGGGCGAGATATCCAGACCACCCACAGACACGTCACCAAACGAGCCCACTCGGTCCCCGTTGATACATGGCATAGCCGTTTCCTTTTCCTTTCCCCAGCTTGCAGCTCGGGGCCCCGACGCAGGCTAGCTGGACAAGCCATAGCTAAACCATATTCCACTCCGTCCTGCGATGGGCAGCTTGAGCCGCCCGCTGGCGGGAGCGGATGGCTGGCTGCACCAGTGACGCCACGAGCACCTCAAGAGCCGCGTGTTTGAGATTGATGGGACGAGTATCCTGGATTCCTGGCTGCCCAGCCCACACTGGGGCGCTCTGGCCAAAGAGAAGAGATCCGGCACCGAGACTGACTAAGTTTGCCTGTTGTACGGAGTAATAAGTTTTGCGAAGACCCTGCAACCCATGGCCAAGGGGAAACCAACGAGGGTGCATGTGGGCGCATGTATCCGCGGAGCTAAAATTGGTCGGGAGCAACAAAAACAAGTACGTACGTATAAACGCTCTGGAAAGACTGCCGACAGGAAAGTCGGTCTGGCTGGTGTGAGATCCGTAAATGAAGGGGAGCTTGGGGGTCTGCTACATGCCCCCCCCCCCCTTCTTCTCCCCTTTCAAAGTTGGCGCCAGGTTGTGAGCTGCAACTCCTGAAGTTCAAGTATTGTGTGGCCAAGATAACCCCACGGTACTCCGTACTTGCTGAGGCATCCGAGGACGGGTACGGAGTGGGGGGCCAGGGGGGATTCATCGAGATGCGAATCGCTTGCCGATGCATTACACGGCTGTGCGAGAGAGAGAGAGAGAGAAAGAGGGAGGGAGGGAGGGAGATGGGGATGTTGAAGCGGCCAGATGACCCGTGGATTGCATTTTGCATTGCCACAAGCAAGTCTCCGGCGCATGGCTTTGCCCTTGGCCTTGGCCAGGGAGAGACTACTGATTCGGAAGGCATGGGTCGTCCGGCAAGAGATGGGTGGTACTTGCCTCAGTAGTAAGTACCGCCGCCTCTGCCACTGCCATGTTTGAGCGTCTTGCGCTCCGATAGAGTGGCAACATGCAATGCAAATGCAGTCTTGTGAAGCAGATTGGGTTTGCCATGATGCTCCCTCGCGCCTGGTGCGCAGTTCTGCCTGTGTTATTGCCCGGCTCCTCGAGTATTGGCCTGCGTTGCACCGTCGGGCCGGAATGCCAGATTGCGGAGACTAAATCGGCAAGGCGCACGACTTTGCAGACATTTTCTGCAATGCGCACACTCGGGATCTGATACAGGAACCACATGTCGACTGCAGAACGCAGGACGCCTACGCCAAATCCCCTGCAACTGATGCAAGTTCGCCGGCAAATGATGAGCTGCATTCAATGACTAGGCGGCTTTGTGTGCCTTGGACGTTTCACAAATCCTTGTCAACGACTGACCCTTGGAATGCCACCAACATCGCAATGCTTGCCCCCCCCCTGACTGTCAAAAGACAACTCCGAGACTCTGGGCCAATCGATGCCGAGACCATTATCGACATGGTGACTCGTTTTTACCGCGGGAGACGTGGCAGCAAATGTCTCATCTTTGCATAGATCGCCCTTTGTTCAGACGTCGATTGCCTGGGAATCCCAAACTGTCAGGGGCCAGCCAGCACACGCGAGCGAGCCTCTGTCCTTAATTGGAAAGTTCTCTGCAATCAGGCCTCACCAGGAATGCAGTGGGGAGCCAGTGTTTTCGACGCTTCCTTGTGCAAAGCATCACGAACTGCGGATATATATATACATATATATATTATATTCGACAGCGACTCACACATAAACAGTATCGAGAAACCATGGCATGCGATCTTTCTGAAGGCCAAGTTCCGTCACGTCGCCCAAGGCCACTGCAACTTCAGTCGCTTATATCTTTGAGCGCTGACACATGCCCATCTATCTCTAAGAGTTTTGGCAGCAAGGACGGGTCCCAGTTTAAAGTTGACCAAGGTCGGATCTACGAAGATCAACAGCCCCGCCGAGATCTCGGGACGGTGGGTGTTATTGCGCATTGCCTACTTACATACCGGTGAGTAGAACGTACATATTACGAAGCTGAAGGGGGGGGGGGGGGCTG